GCTCGGGACCGTACTGGAAGAATATCGGCCCTCGGTCTTTTTTGTACGGACCTCGCTGCGCTCGGTCCGTACTGTCAAGACCTCGGGCCGATATACTCCCAGTACGGCCCTCGCGCTTGGTTAATAAGATATATTTAATAAACATTCGTCGATTTGCAACTCCGATACAAGTTCCGTATTCACGCCTTCCATTTCCACCAAGATACAATGACGAACAATTTAATTTCTTGCGCATGCTTTTCCCGCGCTGTCCGCTGAATGAAACCTTAACCATTATTTCTCTGTCAGTATAACTTGGATTGCAGGCGTATTTTAGTGAGCGGTCGCTCAGTAGCCATTCGTAAAACGTTCGGCCGCCGACTTGAAAAAACATGGCGTCATTGTCCACGTTAATTGTGAGCTTGTAACACTGACTCTCTTCCCTATAAGACGTCTACACTGCAAAATATCCTAGCTACAAAGGTTATACTGCAACCTTAATATCCCTGTGTCCCCAGAAGTGTAATTTAGTTCATTTTCGCAAAATGTATTAAACGTACAATTTTGTTATCGCAATAAGTGAAAACACCAGACCAAAGCCACCGGAGAGTACCCCCACACAGACAATGAGTAAGTTGATGACGTAACGGCTGGTACTTATGTGCTCGATGTGAAGCATGACGTCGAAAAGACACGGGAAAACTAGGGTAAGCAAGACACCTGATATGCTACCAATCACCGCCATTAGCAGCGAGAACTGAGGAAGAAGGACAGCAACCATTACGGTGAATACCACAAAGACAGCTCGCAGCGAGTAAATCATGGCGCGCTCCTTGATGGTCAGTGGATGCTTCTCGTCGGGAAAGCATGGTGGAATGTACGAAAGCTGGGCTTTATGTATAATGGTAATAAGGGTTAATAAGGGCAAGGCATACGAGAACATCCCGTTTAACCCCAGGAGGGCGTTGGCTGTATTCTGGAGAGCCCCTGGTGGGAGATTCTCAGAGATTTCTTGTTGGGTTTGTCCTCTGAAGGTTAACACTGCTATGAAGCCGTAAATCAGTTTGGTCACAGCGGAGGCAAAAAAAGAGTAATTCATTATACTGTTAAACTCTTCCGGTTTTTCCATGGTTTCTTCGATGCCTGGCAGGTAAGGATGGCACACGAAGCTGAACAGGATAATTCCCCATGCTACGGGAAATCCCTCCAAAGTTGTCACGCCAAGGTTGAAATCCCATTCGTAACGCTGTGTCACGCCATACCCGATGACTGAGGTAAACACCATGACGAGGGCGACGACACTGAACATGCTGAGCCAAGAGACGTGCTTAAGATGATTCAAGAACACTGACGGGAGCAGAAGAAATCCAGCAATGACGGTCCATAAAGAATACGAGAGGGCATGGTGCTCAAACAAGTCGTTGAAAAAGTCGGCGACGAGAAGCAGGTAAAGAACGCATGCGCAAGCGAGTTGCATTACCTGAGCGCCGCATACCACCGCGGAACCATATCTTTTCCAACATGCTTGGCCTGAAATCAGAAGTTTTTTCGGCGTTTACGATAAGTTGTCAAATTTTTATTATAATTATTATTATAATTAATGTTATTATTATCATTTATTATTGTTATTATTATTATCATTATTGATATTGTTATTATCGTGATACTTATTGATGGTGATGATAAGACTGAATGGAGTCCAACTTGGTCTGCAATCGTACGAGTGAATAGCAATATCGAACAACCCCGAATTGGGAGTGCAACGTGTTGATTATGAGAACGATCGCAAATACAATTGAACGACAGGAAGTCCTGTCACCAACAAATCGAAACAATGATAAAATTTAAGAAACAAACTAGCCATCAGTTATACGGGTAGTTTATATGAAACAACAGTTACCTCAGCGAAATGCACGAGAAAAGCGCGTGCACATAGCGCACACTGTCTTATTAGGGGCCCAATCATAATAATTGCACTTTACTTGATCATAATTAGTTTAAAAACTCCTATTCTCCACAAATTCACTCGCCAAGTTGTTATCGAACAGTTTGATATCGGACAGTTCAACAAGCCAATCACATTCGATTTGATAAACAGATCGGACTCCCGCGTGGAGTGGACTCCGCTCAGTTTAATTATCATTACTAATCATGCTTGTAATAATCAAATACGTTCGAGAATTCTGTTGTAATTCTGAGTTTGATAATGATGATAACAACAATAAATATATTGATAATAATAATAATAATTACAACACTGATAATTGATAACAATAATAATGATGATGATAATAATAATAATAATAATAATAATAATAATAAACAATAACAATAAGCAATAATTGGATGAGGTTGGGCATGCTAGCGTGAAATATCAAAATCGAGGTCTGAGTTATCTGCCGAAGCCGAAGGCTGAGGCACATAACACAGACACGAGGTTTTGATAATTCACGATATCATACGAAACCCGAATTCAATAGTTGCTTTATTTTACATTTTTCAAACAATTTGCTAGAGAAGACACTTATCTGACTTGCACGCGTATCGAGCTACTTTTTTCGGTTTCAGCGCCTTACCACGGCAGCAAAAGNGGCTTTTCGTATAAACACTCTATGATAAGTTTCCCCGTGTAGTTAGTGATTATTGAGATAAGAGCAATGGCCACCAGAGACATGTATCCCCCCTGCATAACAGCAAATGGGACACCAAGGGTTCCCGTTCCTGAAAGTTGAAAATAGAGAGATTTAGCATCGCATTCACGTGAGACGTGAATGGCAAGAGTGACCACGTGACCTTGTTTTTCCCGCCGTTTTTTTCACGCCATCATATTTTCAAGAGTGCGGAAAATGCTATTAAGTTTGGCATACACTTTTCAAAAGAAAGATGTGAAGTTTTGCAGATTGAATTAAATAAACCTGTTAAATACTAGTGGAGACTGGGTGCTTCTCTCGATACGAATAAACAAAACACTTTTAACAGGGTGGTTTCAACAACTGAACGAATTTAGAACAGAAATTTGAAAGCACCTGAGCAATTATAATAAAAATACTTTTCACCTCAGGCTTGTAGTGAACCTTGTTGAATGATCCTATCGACTTCGTCTCGGGGATTCTACAACAGATAATATCTGAGCGTAAGGCAATTCATTGTCAAATATAGTACCCACTCGCTTTTCTTTAAGTGATTCTCTTCATTACTGCTTTGTATGCACGACGGAAATTAATCCAGCTCCTATTCGCAATCGGAAATTAACTAAAATGATTGTAGAAAGCCAAATAAAATCTGTTGTGTTATTTTTTTTCCCTTCAGCTACGGCCCCTTTTTTTGCGCTCTTCCTCTCTGGCGATCTTTCAGTGGCAAAGAATTGTTATTATCCCGATCCTGTCTTTAAATAATTAAAAAGTTGATAAATTCAACAATAGGTTTTTTTTAAGGGCGAAATCTGATCTAGCAACGCCTAGGATCTGAAACACCTTAAATGAAAATTTGTTTTCAAATTCTGAGGTCACTGAGCGGGAGTTTGCTATAAAAAAAAAAAAAGAAAAAAACCTCTAATTTTTCCTGGGTAACTTGGGAAGACCTTTAGCTAGATATTTTTTTCGAAACACTGACATCAAAAGTAGTTTTTTAAAACAGTACATTTAAATTTGTTTGGTTAACGTTCGTTAGAAAAAATTTCATCGTTGATGTAATTAGTTTTGTGCTTCTAATTAAACCATTCAGTTCCTGAGATCTTTAGTACTTGAGAACAGCAAGGTTTTAACCAAGTATTCATTTTGCGTTTGCCTTCTATTTGTAACTCAATGGCGCACACTGGTTTTTTTATGTGAAACTTTTGAAATTGTAGCTTTGACATTCCGTCAAAAGATAAAAACAAACGTGGTTAATTTTTTATGAACGGAAGTCTTCGAATTTACTCTAGAAGAAACATTGCTTTTTAATTAATAGTGGACGGATATTCAGTAATATTTAATGAGCATACCACGATATTGTATTTTCTTTAACGAAATAGTAGTGAACACCCACGATAACAAAAAAAACTCCTAATTTTTTTTCTTAGCTATCGGAAACAGCTCTTTGCTTTTCGCAACCCGCCTTTGTACAATTATCCACAACACCTTAATTATTTATGTATTCCTTCGATAAGAATAAAAAAATTGAATTAGCTTTTAAATGAAGAAATCATCTCAATGAAATGTTTTGATTTTCTCACAGGAACTGAGTCGTCAACTGAAAAAGAATATATTTTTTTAAAATCGGTACTGGTTCATATCAGAAAGAGAGGCTAGATGAAAATTAGTGAAGAATGTAATAGTGATAAACCTACTTAGGAAATTCCTTCAGCTCGCTAGGGAATTAAAAGCCAAACTTCCGAGCTAATTTTGCTTCCGGAGCTTCAAAACATTTCTTGGCACATCGCTGTTGTCTTTGACTTCTATGAAAATGAACTTAAACTCCTCTATGAAAGAAAGATATTTGAATAATCTTAAACGATAAAAGATAGAAGCTTGAATAGGGAAATGTTTTCTACTCTTAAAAGGTTTGGGAATGTTTCTCAAACGAATTTGATTTTCAGTCTGTAATAATCCATCGAGAAATCGGTACATTTCTAACAGACAAGAAGGACGAGAAACTATCGAACTTATGCATTTATTTGGATAATCAAAACTTTTTTTTTATTTTGGACAAATTTGATTTGGAACAATTTATCGAAAAAAAGCCAATCGCCCAATTTTTCCGTCAACCAAGATAATCGGAAATTGGATCAGAATTTTTGTTCAGTTCAAACAACTGGATCAAAAAGATCTTTTCTCCAAGCAATGATTGAAGAAAATTCTTTCGAGACTTTTTTATCGTTCAGCTCTTATACGACCGCTGAAATACATTTCGGTAAGATAAGGGCATTTTTTTGGAGAATATCTGGCGGCAAGGAATGAATAATTTGATGCATGGAACATTTGGTATTGGGGAAAAGCTAACCGCGATTTGCATTGGGTAAAATATAATTTTTTCTCTGTAAGTTTTAGTTTATGACTAGTATATATTACCAATGAATCTGAAAAATTTAAAATTCTGGTGAAAAATAACCATGAAGTCATTTGAAACACGATATATTTTGTCTTATTTAAATAAGCTTTCCTTCGACCTCAGAATTAGAAGAAAAATTGCAATACAATATTATTTCGAAACTTACCTTGAATTAAGTTTAACACATTCCAGGCTGCTTGTAAAGCCGAAGTGTTTTTTGAAGACTCCTTCTCACTCGCCTTGGTCATTTCCTCGCTAGGATAAACTATTTCATCCTCATCGCTTTCTCCTTGATTTTCAACGTGAAGATACTCCCTGCTTCCATGGCGTTCTTTATTCCTTTCTCCAAACGAAGACAGAGGGAAATGATTCTTCAAGAAATCTTTAATTGCGTGAGCCATTGCGGCGAAATTGATGTCGAAGAAATTTACCAAATTATCACAGGATGTTTCTTAGTCTTTCTTCAGTAATGCTCTTACAAATCAATCAATCCAGTGGGCATGCGTTATTTCCTTGACTCAATGCGAGAGAGCGGTGTCTTGAGTCTCTCTAATACTCAACATGCCAGTACTGCAACGTCCAATCAAATCACAAACAGATGCATAACATCACGTCACAAAGCGAACATGATAAGCGCGCACGCGTATTCAGAGAACAAAGTTAAAAAAAAGTTGAAGACAATCGAAAATTGTGGTCGATTTGTTTTTTAAAATAGCATTCAAATTTTCATTCCATCTTAATGCGACAAAGTTTTCGGACAATCACGCGCGCGTGACATGATCGATCGCTCCCTTGTTGTTTGTACTTTTGTTACTCGGGTTTCCCTAGGAAAGCTCGAGTCCAAAAATGCGGGCCGTTCGTTTAAATTCTTAGTATTTTGTCCCCAGTATGCAATCATGATCCCAGCAAAGACACTGAAAACTGGGGATGAGAATCGCGAGCTCGACAACCCAGGAATTCGGGGTATCAGAGATCGCTCTTCTAGAACAACAAGATGCCGTGTCTAACAGAAGTGCCTAAAATTGGACAATGATGTTTGAAATCGAATACGAGTGTCTAAAACCAGGAACTAGTGTCTTAAATCAGATGATACAGTCTAAAATCGGACCCCTGTATCTGAAATGGAACAATAGTGACTAAAATCGGAAAATAGTGTCTAAGACCGGACACTTGTGACTGAAATAGGACATGTGTGTCTAACATCGTGCTGCACTGTCTAAAATTCGACACTTCTGTCTTACATTGGAGACTAGTGTCCAAAATCGGAGACTGGTGTCCACACATTAGTGTTTCAAACAGGACACAATTGTCCAAAATCTGACACAAGTTTGAAAAATAGGACAAAATCGGATACCAATGTCCGAAATGGTACATCAGAGTCCTGAGTTTGAGACTGGTGCCCAAAATGGGACACTAGTGTCCAGGCTCGGACTCTACTGTCTAAATAGATGGCAGACACTGTTAAGGGTTGAAAGCTCTCACGAGAGGGCCTCAAGAGATCAGCTTACGGAAGTTTCACAGCAACGAGTTTTTCAATTTGTTTTTCAAGTTCTAACAGACATCTGTGATAGATGTTGCAATCATAAGCACTCTAGAAGGAGAGAAGTCTAGAGTGTGAAGATATTCTGCCTCAGAACTATGAATTTCACCATCTCTGACGTCAGGTTCGCCTTCTGTCATCATTGGCAGCTCAGAGTGAGTGAACACAAGTAACAACGAAATACAGAAACGAATCTACAGAGCAACGAATCTACTAACATGAATTTGAACGGTATAACACAACACAGCACAACCAGGAATACAAGACAACAACAACGTAACACAAAATTTCTACAACATAATAAAACACACCATAAAACACGACACAAGGGCTCTCTGAACGCGAGCACTTCTCAGTTTGAAAACTTAAGAAACACGTGGAAGTAACAGAAATTCCTCCATTCAGAAAAAAAGTTGTCTTCACAATGCTTCTAGCGTTTAAAGTTAAGCCACATGTACAATTCACAACATTCACAACATTCACAGTGCATGGTTCACCAAATCTACTGACACGGAATGCTGGGTACTCAAGTAATGTTGCGCATGAACTCTCCTTCAGGCCGCTGTCCGAGGAGAATGCTGGAGAATGCACTAACTATCTCCAGACTCCCTCGACTTTCTTTCGATCCCAGTGTCTTCGCATCATTCAAAATGGCCTCCTCTTTGTGTTGCTCTAAGTTGAGTTGTTTTCATGGCTAGGGGCAAACATATCTCGCTAAATTTCTGACATCTGATGGCAATGTACAACTTCAAGACAAAATGGTTTGATATTTTATCAAGGAAAGCTTTGATTCATTTATAGCTTCAACGGAACGATCTGTTTTGGTCAGTTGTCATGGAACATTGTGGACAGTATACGATCCTTGGAAACATAGGAGAGGGAGCTCATGGAATTGTTTTCAAAGCTAAACACATCGAGGTAAATATTTATTTAGCATACATGGGGTAGGATTATTTTTTTGCGTTGTATTACATAAATAATCTGTTTCGAGCTGCGATTTTCAGTTCACTTACATTCGAAGTTAAGTTATCACTTCCAGGCGTATCATTGTGTGAGTGTGCCAGCAATTTAGCCAGACAAGCTAGAAATATAAAAGTAAATATACAAAGGTTATATCTAAAGGACTAAGCAAAAATCTTTCAACGTATTCGAGACTGGAATCTTAATGCTGTGAAATGAAATTTCAGAAGTCCTTTAGATTTTTTTTTTGATAAGATGGCAGGTAAAAAACGAACTCTAAAATGTTCATCGAGGATTTTCCTCCCCGTTTATAACTTTGAGATAATCTTTCTTCATAATAATTATTTGTGTGATTGTTTTACATTCCATTTTATGCAGAGTGGTGAAGTTGTTGCTTTAAAGAAAGTTCCACTGAGAAAGATTGAGGATGGAATACCAAATACTGCATTGAGGTTTCATAATCTCTGCTATCGTTTTTTCTTGCAGTTAGAAGCTCTTATTTTAAGTATCCTCAAAGGTCAATTGTTTTCTGGTTGTAATAAAAATTTAATGGTCATATTTCCTCACAACCCCATACTTTTTAAAACAAAGCCATAGTCCCAAAGGCAATCTTTTGTTTTTTGCCACTTTATTCTTAATGTATAATTCTTGGTTAAGGTATTCATTTGTTGTTGTTTTTTCTTTTTCGTAATTTCAGAGAGATTAAAGCATTACAAGAAATAGAAGACAACCAAAATGTAGGTACCTGGTACCTAGAGGCTGCATTTATTATTTTTGGCCTCATCATATCCTCAGCTTCCTTAATTAACCCTTTGAGCTCTAAGAATGACCAGCATCTAATTTCTCCTAACAATATCACCCCTGAATCACACATTAAGGTCACGAGAATAAAGGAAATGATCATCAACTAAAGAAGCTCTTGATTGTTAAACAAATTCTCCTGATCAGCACCCTACGAAATGTATAGAGAACAGTATGGAGAATATGCATACTGATGTTAAGATGTAAAGGGTTAATAGTTTGCTTGTAGTTATTGATATTTGTGCCGGGTGGTGGAAGATAAAGAGTAAAATTTCTTATTTGCAGTTACCCCATCGAAGCCTTTGTCTTAAGCCTTGATCAGCCTGGGTAGAATACATACCTGCATTAGATCTCTTCTTTTGCCTTGTAACTGCATGTACATGGAATTCTAAAATGTATCTTATAGCATGTAAAGAAGTTTCTTTACTGTGATGTCATTTGTAATCTGTTGCTTTGCTCTCTTTGGTCAGGTTGTGAAATTGATTGATGTGTTCCCCTATGGTACTGGGTTTGTGCTGGTGTTTGAGTACATGCTCTCTGATCTGTCTGAAGTCCTGCGCAACTCTGCCAGACCCTTAACTGAGGTCTGTAATGGAGATAAATTTTATTTTTCATTCATTTTTTCTAAATGGTGAGATGTGGGGAATCTTACCTTGCTAATGGATAGAATGCAGTAGCCGTCCTTTAAAAGGTCTGGTTTTAAGCCCAAACTAGTTCATTTGGTTGTGTCTTTGGGTAAGTACAATTGAGACGCACAAGATGCTATTCTAAAAGTTCTACTTTCCACTTATGAGTGTGAATCAGTGGGTACCAGCAAATTAGAATGGACTAACTTAAGAAATAGCATCGCAATCATGTACCGCTCATAGTCACCTCATGTTATGGTTACATGAAGCTGGATAATCTGTGGCAGCAATGAACTCCTGAACTCCCAAGATCTACTTGTTAATTCTCCCCTCTAACTACTATTCATTTTTTTTTTTTTTTTAGTGAAGTTAAAATAATTTAGTGTTAGGTTAAGGTAACCACTTCAACCTGATAAAAAGAGAGGGCTAAATTTGTGGTGCATTTGTTGTAATCAACTGCTAGCAGGCTGATTGTTTTCTACTGCATGTATATTTAATCAATCCTTTTTTTTTTTGTAGGCACAGATCAAAAGCTACATGTTGATGTTGTTAAAAGGTGTAGTGTTTTGCCATGAGAACTCGATAATGCATAGGGTATGTATGTTTTACTATTTCGATACACTAGATCGTATTACTGCAAGCTGGTAGCCAGCATATCAATTTTGTGTACATCTACCCACCACCCAGCTGCCACTGAAACTCCTGTAATACTTCTTCCGTGTAGGATTTGAAGCCGGCAAACTTGCTGATCAGTTCCACAGGACACCTTAAAATAGCAGACTTTGGTCTTGCTAGAGTTTTTTCCAATGATGGCAACAGACAGTACAGTCATCAAGTGGCTACAAGGTTTGATGAGCAATAAGGATGTTTATTACACGACTCGGGCAGTCAGAGGGCAAATAACTAAAATCAACAAATCAAAATGCTCTGTTGCCGGTCAATATTCTCTCAGTATTGGACCGGGCACTGTCCCAAATAGTCCCGAATGATACCGCACTTGTGTCCCTTTGAACTTCAGTCGTGTAATAAATCTCTTATTAACCAAGCTTGCTCGGGACCGTACTGGAAGAATATCGGCCCTCGATCTTTTTTTGTATGGACCTCGCTGCGCTCAGTCCGTACTGTCAAGACCTCAAGCCGATATTCTCCCAGTACGGCCCTCGCACTTGGTTAATAAGATATATAAATTACTTGATAATTTATTCGGTCATCTTTCTAAAACTTATTTACATGGTTGAAATAACCATCAACTATGGTTAGACAGACACATACAGGCATCTTATTGGGACAAGTTAACATAAAGAATCACTTTATTGTTTATTTAACCAGCCCTGTTTAATTTGGAGTTAGAGTTGACAGTGGGGGAAGGGGGACTGGGAAGGGGGTTAAGTCACCAACCCAAGCCCCTCTCCTTACTTTTGACCATTGCTCACCCACCCTTGGTAGGAATCTCTTTCTCTCCCGAACCTTGCTCACCCAAATTAAACCTACTCTTTGGGCCAACATGTAATGCTCTGATTTTACTGAATCCTGTAGAAAGCAAGAGGCTTGTCGCATACATGACATATAAATCTATTACAAGGCCCACAGGCCCCAGTAGGCTCTATGTAGCTTGATGATGGTCAACATGGTTTGTAATTATTATTGTATGGAACCCAGATTTTTTTTTTTTTTGTCTAAGGGCAGCTGGTGTTACTGAGACTCTCCTTCTCTTTTTTTTTTATTACAACCAGATGGTACAGAGCCCCTGAACTGTTGTATGGAGCAAGGAAATATGATGAAGGAGTTGATCTTTGGTAAAAAAAAAAACAAAACAAACAAACACACTTTACCAACTTTCGGATGATCAGTCTGTAAGGGGTGGGATTTGTGCAGGATTATGCATATGTCTCTAGTGACCAGTGGTGACTGCATGGTAGGGTAAAGTGAGCTAACCACCTAGAAGTTGACGTCACCACTTTGATAAGATGCTTGTCTATTGGAGGTTACAACATCAATTTCTTGTCAGGTGTCCTAAGAGTTTCTTGGTAGCCTTTGTACTCTTGGGTGGAGACTGCAAGGCTGTGGTCTAGCAGTGCTCAGTGGCCCCTGATGCCTTACTTTTGCTCTTGGCGACTCGGAAATTTTAGTTTTTTCATACAAAGCATATGCTGGGCACCCTGGATTTCACAGTTTCAGAGCACTGGGCTCCATTCAATTTTCCTCAGGGCACAGCCTTGGACTGTGTCACTATGAGAGCAAAGCCTCATGCCCAAGAATACAAGTCATGTGCGACACAATGACTGAGTTTGAGCCTACCCATGGGGATCCCACACACCAACTATCAGGCTGCCTCGTTTGGGGACTGCGCTATAGAAGCGGCGGAAACAAAGGGTGTTTTACCAATCCATTTGTCATTTTGTGTAATCGAGGGTGTTTCATTTAGTCTGTTTTTGTTTACTTTGTACTAACAGGGCAGTTGGTTGTATTTTTGGAGAGCTCCTCAACAACTCTCCGCTTTTTCCAGTAAGTCTATGACATGATGTCATTGAGCCTGTTCCAAGCTTTCATTTATTAACCCTTTTGCTCCAAGAAGTGATCATTATGTAACTTCTCCAAATAATATCCATACATTATCCAGCAAACAGTTAATGAGAATACTCAAACTTATCAGGTAGAAGTTATCATGATCTAACACCAAATTCTCATAATTAATTTACAAGGAAATGAAAGGCAGCTAGAGGGGAGAATTAAAAATCTGATCTTGGGAGTTAAAGGGTTTAAACGAAGCGCGATAGTAAACGGTGCGATAGAAGCGGAGGACTGAAAAAACGAGCGAGGTTTGGGTCGGGTTCTTTACGAAACTCGAACCAAACCTCTCTCGCTTTTTCACTCCACTGTCGCTATCGCGCACTTTACTTTGGCGCCTCGTTTTAATAAGTGAACGCTTGCAAGAGGCTAGACGTCATTTTTGAATGAAGTTAATTCGTTGCTTGGTAAAAAAAGTTTGAAAACCAAAATGAGAACAAGCAGGCAAAGAATAGGTAAGGAAATTTGCGCGCAGTTGATAAGCACAAACGAGAAAACAGAATTACGAATGATGTGTGTCACGGTTGTCTTATCATGAAATACGAATCCTTTGCTTAAAATTTAAAGTGTCCCTTTTGCAAACCCGTAAGTCTTCCTTTTCCCTGTTTTATCCTTTACTCATCAATTACTATTTTGACTTCTTATTATTGTTTTCATTATTGTTCCTTATTGCGGTTGTTTCTAATATTTCTTCGCAATTTTCCCTCTTCCCATGTATATTTAGTCATTTTCTCCAATATAACGATAATCGGCGGGTAGAAAAAGGAAAAACAGTTGATAAAAATATCCACTCAAAAGTTCTTTACAGCGTTGTTTCCTTTTTTTTTAGGGTGAAAGTGACATTACCCAGCTTTAGTGTGTACTTCGAGTGTTGGGAACACCCAGCCAAAGCCAGGTAAGGGAACGTGTTGCATCTCACAGCTGTATGCATTATATTAAATGAGAATTGCTTAATTAGAGCCTGTTTACATGAAGGTGGGGGATCCTTGGCAGGCGAGGTTGCGCGCCAAGCCCTGGTCGAAAAATAGCCTGCGTTTACAAACAATCTTAAAACCTCGGGATCCCGAGGTGAGGTCGTTGGTGCGCTTTGAAATTTAACATGAACGCGACCCCGGTTAGGCGGGTTACCCCACCTTGAGATGTTTACTTGGCAAATTGCGACCATAGTTGACAGGGTTATCCCACCTATCATATAAACGTGATCAAAATTGAATGAGTCAGGCGAGTTTCCTCACGCAGGTGGGCTACCTCACCTACCTGGGGTCCCTCACCTCCATGTAAACAGTAGCGAAGACGTGGCAAAGCAGAAAATGCAATGAACAGAACAATAGCTCAGCACATGCGTATTAAATCTTTGTACCTTTATTAGCTGTCCTCTGTAAAACAGCAAATTGAAATCACCAAAATTTGGCTAGTCTGAGTACGGAAACCCTGACGGCAAATTATTCAAATTTCCTTTTGGAACTCAAAGCGGCCCATAGACCAGTGAACACATCCAGCCATTCGCGAAATTCTAGCTATAAATAGAAATTCAATTTTTGGTCGACGTCTGACTACTAAAGGTCCCTAATATCTGTGCGATCGCCAATTTACTCATTTTATAACAGAGTGGCTGCTGCCCCCCTTTGAAATTACGAATAAAGCAGTCCGTAATTTCAACGATGGTAAATAAATTTTTCGTTTATATTTTGTTGTACAATTTGTATTAAAATTATCAATAAAATTTTAACCTCAGCACAAGCCCGCCAATTTCTTCTCCTTGTAATAGGGAATGACAGAACTACCAGATTACAACAAAATCGTTTTTCCCGAAATGCCGCCAATACCATTGGAGAATATTGTTCCTGACGCTTCACCAGAGGTGCGTACACCATGAATGTGTGTGTGCCGCGCATGTGTGACGCGCGTGTGCCGTGCGTGTTGTCATGCGTACCTTGTGCGTGTACCGTACGTGACCGTAAATTACACCTGTCAAGTAGCAGTTACCTTCTGTTGTATGTTCTCATTTAAATATTGCGACTGTTTTTTTTTTTGTGCCGTGGCAAGCGTTTAATTTTCCGTTTCCGTGTTCAAACTGGAAGGTGACTTTCAAGAATGATTCCTGAAAGCCGTACTCATGGTAATAGTTTATTTTTACTTGTCTTCAGGCAATAGATTTGCTGAAACGTTTCTTGGTGTATCACTCTAAAGAGAGAATTTCCGCAAAAGAGGTCAGTAGCAGTGTTTGGTTACTCTTAGCTCAACCTTCCAAATCTGAGGACTTGAGCTTTAAAAGTGATCCATCACCATGAGTCGATGATGTAAATTGGCCATCGCAAATATTTTCTAAAACTGACGTTTCCAGCGTTGACCTATCGAATAGAGGAATTGTGGGTTGTGTGTGGTTTATACACAGAAAAGTGGAGCAGTGTCCTTGGTTTGGAAATGGTAGCGTGAAAAACACAAGAATATATGCAGACTAACTGCAGACAGTACTGTTTCGGCCTTCTGGGCCTCATCAGTGCAGTGCTAATGCTAGGATGGGGGAGAACCGAGACGGTCACCCCAAACGACCCAACCTTTATATATATATATTCGTATTTATTTTTAGCTTTAGAAACTATTAACATTATTAACTCAGTTGATAAAACCAAATTATCTTGTAATACCCCTCATCGACGCAGCACCGCAATTTCTTTAGAAACGTACCCCCTCATACATAACTATAGATAGCTGCGATAAAGCTTCTCCAACCCGTGCGATAAGTACAGATTGAAGATTTCTGTTAGTTTATTTTCACTCCAATGAATCGTTGTATTTCATTCCAGGCCTTATTGCATCCTTATTTCTTCACGGAGCCTCTTCCGGCTCACCATTCTGAACTACCAATCCCAGCACGCAATGCGCGGAAGACATCAGGACGAGGCCCGTTGCGTCATACTTTTGACATTGATGTCCCTCTGGAGAAATCTCTGGTCAATCCCGCGTCTCTTGTACATAATGTTGTAGGCATGCCAGATTTTCACACATGAGATCTTTTTCATTTTGGTTCTCAGAAAACTTGACTTTTGGAATGAATTTCAATTAAAAGTCGAAAGTAATCCGGAATTGGTTAGATTTTGCTCTAGTTCGTCGTGTGATTGGTCTCAAGCAGTCGAGCCAATTTTTCAGCCAACCAAATTTAAAACTATGACCAGTCGCGACTTGGTTGCACACTTTTTCTCGCGCTAAAAGCAGATCGCCAATCTTTTTTTAATTGTAAATTCTCATTGGCGCGTTGTGCTATTTTTCTCAACTCTGATTCGTTATTGTAATTAATTTAGTTTTGGTTTAACGACACTCAATTGAAAGGGGTTCCTAGAACAAGCAAAGAAAATAAAGGCAAAACGTAAAACATGGCACGACCGTTATAAATTGAAATGCCTTTTTTTTCGTGAGTGGACTTTACGACCTAACCATGGAGTGCATTTTTATTTGCACAGTCAAATCTACTGTAGAAGGAGTTTTGTTTGGGGTGCGTCAGGGTACTAGCTGTCGTGTTCAGCGCGCTGCATTATAAACGACCAGGCTATTATTGAACGTGGTTATTCCCTCTTCAAAGGAAAATGTTGTGCCCAGGTCTTTGCAGTGTCAATTGTAACCCTTAACAAGCCTCTCTCTGACCCAAAACCAGCCCACTGACTGCAATGCCCGACTTCAAACGAACACTTAGCAGGCATGCTTTTAGGAATCCAGGCAGTGTCGTATTAAGTTATGGTGGCAGGTCTTCTTGAGAGGGTTTAAGACATTTTTTGTTACGTTCATCGTGTTTTGAAATTTTTTTATTTAACCAAGACAACGTTTTGTCTGTAATCTTAAGCTAAGAAATACTGTTAAAATTCTAATTGAGGTTTAAAGTTCTTTCTTTCCTTTTTCAAGTAAATAACTTGAAACCCAGTAAGTAAGAGGCACTAGCGGCATATTTAATTACTTGTATTTCCAACTTAAAAGTACATGAATGTTACAACAAAATCAGGACAACTGCTTTCAAGAAGAGACGTAATAATAACAATAACAATATTTCTTTATTTCCACCATTTGCAGATCTCTCTGAATTACTGACAGGATCAGACACTACACTCACAAACATACAAATATACGTGTATTTATATAAGTATACGTGCAATTATAGAAACACAAAGATATAAATAGAGTATAGTAACAATGTAGCAGAAAACGAATGCGCATAACTACGCACTGTTAATATACGAAGCATATTAAAAGTGCACCTAAACCCAAAAATTTTTTTTCGCTTAACGAAATAAGCGTATTTTTTGGAGTATTTCTATGCAAAATTTTTTTTATATGCTCAAATCTTCAATTTTCTGTGCCCAGTCAAAATACGGAAAATCGGCCGCGATCTTGCCCCACGAGCGAGTTTAAAGTGGAATGGCTCTAGGGGGTAATGTGACGTCAAATCGAGAACACGAAAGTCTGGATTTCACACATTTTCACTTGTTTGGGAAGCTTGTAGTCGATATTGTCCGAAAATATGCCGACTAAGTGTGTTGTAGGAGGATGTAGTAACGTGCGAAATTTGCAAGAGGGTATCGCGCTTCATACATTCCTCATACAACACACCTAGTCGGCATATTTCGGACAATATCGACGACAACCTACCCAAACAAGTCAAAATGTGTGAAATGCAGAATTTCGTGTTCTCGATTTGACGTCAAGATGGCGGCCGATTTTCCGTATTTTGACTAGGCACAGAAGATTTAAGCAAATTAAAAAATTTTTGCACAGAAATACTCCAAGAAATAAGCTTATTTCGTTAAGCGAAAAAAAATTTGGGTTTAGGTGCACTTTAACTGATAGCATAACAAGATGGCAAGACTCAGAATATTTACTCTGTGCAACTCTCGTAACAAGCACCAGTAAACATTTGTCTCCTTACGAAAAAAAATTGCCCCTTAAAAAGCACAAATCGTATATAATAAAGTTGAAGTTGCATCTACAACTTTAATTTACCAAACCTACAGCTTTTGCTTCGATTCGCTCGAATTGTTTAAAAGTCAGCTAGTTCGACGAACGATCAACAGTTACTTTGTCAGCAAACTCTCTCGGGCGCAAACTTTATTCTGTGTTATTTATATCAACAGTTGTTCAGTCTATAGTATCAGCATTTTGTCATAACTGCTGCTGTGTCGTGGCTAAAAACTTTTCAGAATAGCTAATAATGAGTTCAATGAAGCAAATAAACTGGATATAACGCCGATATCCAAAACGGTTTTTTACTGAGGGTGCTTATAACATACGAGCCAAATCCCATCTTAACCATGAGAACTTCAGCTTATGGTCTGTAGATGTAACTTATAATAGATAAAAACTGCACAAACTGAAAAATCAAAATGGTTGTCAAGATTTACTGTATTCCCCACGGGTTTTTGCCTTAGGCTGTAATTTATGTTTTTAATTTCAGTAATAATACAATTCCATCATTGGCTTTCTAAATTCTACCCTCGTGCTCGTAAAATCGCTATTTCTGTTTTCACACAGGAATCGATAACTCAATCAAAAATTCAATTTTGATCTTCATCGGCGACCGTTTTGTCTCTACGGGGTGGCAAAACTGCGAATGTACTGAAAAAGGAAGTGCACATTTGGGGATACTTGGGAATACTGTTGCACAAAAGTAAAATAATAGACTTTCGTGTTTGATGTAACTGTATCTATTTACGTTTTGTGTGAAATATTGCTCATCGTTAAAGTACTAAGTAAGGGCCACCCAAACAAATCGCAAATGAGGTATGGTACAAATAATTTCAGTTTTTCTTATCCTATTCTCTTGCAAGTCATTAATCAGAGACTATTACAGGAAAATCCGACAAAGTAAATCCCTGGTGCATTCAAGATTTACACAGAAAGTCGAGGTAGACAACAGCGGTCTGCTTACTGGCGAGATCAATAGCAGTCGCTTTTATTTCAGTTCCACCGAAAAAAACGTTTAACTCGATTTCCCGATCCCGTCCAAGTGAAGTGTCGGGTGATTCAACGACTAAATTTCCAATTTGAGGTCCTACAGAGGAATCTGTTACGTATTTGACGTTTGTATCAGTGGAAGTGAAAAACTTAAAGCATCCCTGAGTCTGATCGGGTGGCAAAGGCTTTCTAATGAAACTTTTCTTCTCTCCTACTTTTATACTCTCGTTTTCATTTACAATGATAGCGAAGACATCTTTGCATCTAGCTACACCGTCAAGGATAAACTTCTTTTTTGGGTCGTCCCCCTTAGGATCAAAGTTTCTGATTGAGTTAAAGCCATAGGTGGTAGCCATAATTCTAGAAGAGATCACCTCAGGCTTATTAGCAAACATGGTTGCACCTTGGACAACTGCAATACCAGCATAGTTGGGAACTAATATTGGAAATCTCCCGCTGAATGCCGTCTTCATGGCCTCTTGCAGAATAACCGATTCAGCAAAACCACCAACCATGAACAGGCAAGCTAACTTCTTCAGTGCACGTTTCCTAGTTAGTCCTACCATGTGGCAAACAATTCCAGAAACTACTGGAGAAAATAGGCTCTTCATTGCATTGGGCCCCAGGCAGAGAAACTCATCGTTGTATATTTCTACATCTTTAATGTTGCAAGACTTCGCAAGGTGTCCGGCTAGATCAGACTTGCTGTTTTTAGACATCATACTAAGGAAGCTACGGGGAAGGGTTATTCGAGTGGGCTTATCATCAAAAGCTCGTCTTCCCCTTTTTTTCATTTCAAATTCATTCATTATCCGAAGCCAATCTGCCGGATATTCGAGGCGGAATTTGTTGATATTTTTACGTTCAAAAAGTTGTTCAAGTAGGTACACAAACTTTTGGTCAACGTAAATACCACCAAAAGGTCCCCCAGTCACCTGGTAAACTTCTCTGATCTTGCTGTCTTCGAGAACTTCATGAACTGTAACATCCAGGGTCCCGCCTTGTAAATAAAAAGTGGAAGGAAATTTATTAACTAAACCGATAAATAGGTAAAGAATTAAGACAGATGGATAACAAATATAAATTAAAGGATTTTCGGTCTGTATCGAACATGAGTAGGTCAGGACGTAATAGTAAAAGTAGTAGTAATAAACTTTATTTTCAGCTCGGATTGAAGAGTAGCGCATAAGCGCTAGTATCTCCGAGAAATAAATACAATATAATACATAGGAACAGTTAAAATAATATATACATGCTAGTAAAATGATATGTTAAAAACAATTAACTAAGAATTAAGAGAATAAGGAAGAATAAGTCTAGCTAGTTACAAAGGCAAGGCAGTTGTTTCTGAAATAAGTTATATTAGTGGTAGTTCTAAGGTCGTCGTTCAACATGTTCCATAATTTAGGTGCTAGAAATTTAAAGGAGTTTTTCCCGAAACTTGTGGTGTTAATTAACAATTGGTTCATGCTTTAGCGTGCACTATCGAGTTATGGAGCACGCGGGAAGTTTGGAGAGCACGAAAGAAGCGTAAGCGTTGCCCGAGGCGATAGCCGAGGGCAACTCTAGCTTCTTGAGTGCTCTCCAAACTTCCCACGTGCTCCATAACTCGATAGTGCACAGCTGAAAGCATGAACCAATTGTTTTAGAACATAGCCGGTGGAATTGTGCATCAAATCCGACGCGAAAAACGGACAACAATATCAGTTGAAGCGAATCGTGACAGCGCTGATGCCGAGTCTCCTTTTCCTTTGTTTTTCTCTTTTTCTGCCTCATTTAAGAACTCTAGCCCAAGGGAGAAGGTCGAAACATTGTCTTCGTTTTCGGAATAGTAGGCCGAGTTTCTGTTTGTATCCATTATTGTCGCGAAATATATTATTTTTCCCCGCGCTAACAATGGCCGCTCGCGCGAAAAAAAACTTTCTGGCGAAGTCGGATTTGCTGACGCTATCTGTGTGCACTGTCGGGATTTTGATCACGCTTACGTATAATGAATTTGATTGCGCGATTCTGCTAGCTATGTTCTAACACGCGGTAATTGCAGCTTGTTTTTGCCTCTAGGCCCATTGGTGTTGGTTTTTGCTACTGGTAATGCCGATACGTAGGCTGGTGTGGCTGCTCGAAAGGATTTGTGAACTAGAATTAACGTATCGATAATTCTTCTCTTACTTAGGCTTACAAGTTTTAGATTTTCCAGAAGCTGTTCATATGTGCTGGCTTTGTCATCAAGAATTATTCATAAAGCATGTTTATTGAGGAGTTCTAACTTTTCCAAATTCCCAGCGCCACAGAAATGCCAGATAGTGCTGCAGTATTGAAAACGTGGCAAGATAAAAGCCTTGTAAAGCTGTGCTTTTGTTAAGTTACTTAGATGTGTCTAAATCTTTTGATAACTCGAATTTGATTGTGTACCCTTGCGCAGATATTAGAAATATGCTTGGAAAAATTGAGTTTGTTATCCAAATTGACACCTAGTAAGTCAATACTCATTTCCTTATCAATTTCTACATTCCCAATCTTGAAATTAAAGTCATGTCTTTTTACCTAAAATCATAGCTTGAAATTTTTCAGGGTTTGCTCTAAGACCATTTAGAGCATACCAATTAACTATAGTGTTCAATTCATTTTCCATTCTGAAGTGAAGTGTCATAGGGTCCTTGTCAGAATCATAGATTTGCTGATCATCCGCATACATATTTAATCTGGCATGTCTCACAAAGTAAAAAAGATCATTTATAAAAATGTTAAATAAAAGTGGACTCAAAACACTCCCTTGGGGAACCCCCCTTGTAAGGCTCATCCAGGGGGAAAAAGTGTCATCAATTTTGACTCGTTGTTGCCTTTTATGCAGAAAATTGCCGCGTAAAGTGCAGGCTGGCTTGTTGAGACCATAAACTTTAAGTTTAGCTGGTAGTAGGTTATGCGGTAACCTGTCAAAAGCTTTCGAAAGATCTGTTGATATTACTGCTACCAGAAGGTTTTTGTCTGGGCAGTCTTTCCAGTCTTCAACAAGGCGTAATAATCCTGTTTGGCAGCTGTGATGTTTACGGTATGCAGATAAGTTATCTGCAAGGATTCCATTGAAATAAAAATTCAGTTGGATGGTGAGTAATTTTTCAAACACATTGTTAATTGCAGGTACTACAGTGATAGGTCTGTAGTTAGTTTGGGTAGCGACCTTGAATAATTGATGTATTCATGATGGAACATAGGAGACTAGATATGATGGAAGCAGAGTCCTTGAGAAGCCGTGGAGGGATATTATCATAGCTACTAAACTTGTTTACTCGAATTTTCTCTAGGCATTTTTCAACAATAACAGTGTTCAAAGGTGTGAAATTTAAGTTAAAGCTCGTGTCTACAGGAAGGTTTGTTAAAATCGCAGAGATGCTGGGATAATCTTCAAAATTAGTGCCATGAATACTTTCAGGTTCCTTGATGTCTCCTGTAATATTCACAAAGTACTGGTTGAAGATGTTGGCAATGCACTGTTTGTCAGTGATCACACGATCAGTTTTCTTTAAGAAAATATTATTGGTCTGCTGTGATTTGCGTGAATGTAAAAACGGACGAAACGTGGTCCAAAAATGCCTAGGGTCCTGATCTTGTGCCAATGACTTCTTGCGAAAGTATGATATGATAGACTTTCTGCGCAGTGAGGTGCATTTATTTCTCTGGCACTTATATAGAGAGTAATTCGCATCTGTTTTATTTCTAGCAAAGATCTTCCATAGGTGATTTCGGTGCCGTATTGCTTTACGCCATTCATCTGTTAAGTATGGTACCTGGCCACCACGCACGTGGGCCTGCTTTAGTGGTGCATGTTGATCAATGATAGTATGGAAGAGTGATTGAAATGCATAGAGTTTATCATCGATGTCATCAAAAACATTCATAACTGTTCTGAAGGGTACCATATCCAAATCATTTAGGAAGGCCTTAGTGTCATAATTTTTAAGACTGCGGAAAGTGATTTCCTGAGAACGTGGTGCCTGCAGTGATTTCCTCAAAATGGCATAGATTAGAGAATGATCACTGATGTGTGGATTTACAACGCCAGTTGTAAGCACTCTTTGCCTGACTTGGTGAGGATTAAATTTAATAGAGTTCCAGTAGATGAGGTCACGCGGGTAGCAGAATTGATGAGACACTAAAAGTCAAAAATGTCTAGTATATCCAAAAGATCACGTCCATCTTTTGGAGGTTTCTCTGGTTGCAGTAGGTCGCAATTGAAATCTCCTAGGATGAAAACACTTTGACCATTGTAACTAGAAGCCTCTAACAAGTTGGAGACTTCATATTTCCATTGGGATTTTGTGAGAGACGGTGGTCTAAAAACCAATAAGTGTTGACCAGGCTTTGCCAAGTTTAAACTTCACTGCTATACTTTCAGTGCCGACGCAGTTGATTTCAAGGTGTTTCATTCGCTGAAAGATGATGCCATTTCGAATATACATTATAACACCACCACCATGCATGTTTCTGTCTTTACGAAGTAGATGAAAACCTTGTACTGCAAACTGGCTGTCAGGAAAATTTCTATCGAGCTTTGTTTCAGTTATGATAAGCAGATCAAATAAAGCCGAAGATAGCCACGTTTTAACCTCAGCAAACTTAAATCCAGCAAGGCCGTTGGCATTAATGTGAGCCATCTTGCAGTTTTTAACAAATGTCTTTGGGCGATTTCGTCGTAGTCATGAAGAATACTGGTATTGGAGCTAGTAGGGTGGGTGGAGGAGAAATCATGATCATGGGAAGAGCAAGAACTAAAACTTGACTCTAAATCGCTTACATCAGGAAAAGGCATTGATTTTAAAATGGACATACATGACGGACAAGTCCAAGAGAAATCTTGCCACAGCGCAAGCAATAGTGCTAATGAATTGCAAACACAGATCAATCTCCTTTCCTAAAACTTTTCGGTTTCAGATCACGCCTGCAATGTTAATTAAGTTGGACATCATCCACTTGGAAAAAAATATAAATTTTATCGATCGTGGTATTCACTATGTTAAATGAAAAAACTTACTTGAACCCTAGCTCTAGATATTTCTGGGATTCTTGTCGATACATTCTAGAAACTCGACGATTTCATAGTTTCAGTATTTTAAGTGTTCTGTTTGCATGAAAATTTTGGAATTTTGGTAGCGCCAGGTTAACATCTATGAGTGCTTTCTTTGATTCTTCTTACTCTCGTCACGCTTGCTGATATCGATCAGCAGTATGTGGGACTCGTCTCAAATCTAAGCGCGGAATTGGTGTAACTCACTGTAGAGTTCTGTGTAGCTCAGGGGTAAAGACTGAGTCGGAGCGCGACATTCGAAGGTCTAGGAGGTTAACTTTCTTACTTCTTGATTCTACGCTAACAAGTGACAAGCGGACCACCATTCATTATTAGATGATGTTTCAGTTGAGTTGCTCTGAGTGAGAGAGTGCCTTAATTACCTGCTAATTTAATAATATATCCTGCTGCAAAATTTTTTCCTCGCCTATATTGCATGACACGTTCAAGTGTGTTAAATGATAATAAGCTGAAAGATTACCTCCAATATCAACCACTGCATAAGAATAACCAGGACGAGCAAAGACATCAGAAATACAAGCATCTCCTTTTTGGTCGGCAAAATCTCTCAGATTTCTCTCCCGACAGAAGAGTGCCCCTCCTTCAGGTTCCAATGCAATAATCAACTGTTCTTTGTTGTTAACAGAAGTAATTCCAGCCTTAAAGTAAAACATAATAATTTAACTGTGAGTAATTTTAAAATTTTCTCGGATTATGGTTGCTAAAACACTGGAAAATTCGTATTGCAAACAGGCAGCGACGTTCAAAATTTCCTAGAAGACGAAGAAAAGAAAAACCGAAAGTCACGCACTCAGTGGCTTTGGTAATGGCATTCCTCACGGCTGAGAAAGAAAATCGACAACTGGAGATTTGCCACAGGCCAATTCTGGTCGTGTTCCTAAAAATATTTCTTCTTTCGGTAAGGAAAAAGTCATTACCGCCCATATATTGTTTTTGTAATTATTCAACGCATTTTTTCATCTTGAGTCTTATCCATATCACCAACGCACTTAACGAAATTTTTTCGGGATTTTGGATCCCATTTTTTTCATTCATCAGTAAAGTCGACTTTTCTTGTCAGTAAAGGTATATTGAGTTTATATAACAAATTAAAATAATACATGGTTCCCTATATGTATGGAGTTTCTTTTACCGTGTTCAACTCGTAGAGAAATGTCATATCTACGCGCGGATGTAATAAAGCATTAAATGCTATGACATTTTGTCCTTAATATCATAGGTGACAAATTACTCCTTAATTTTGGCGCGAAATTTCAGCGTTAATTTTTAATTTCACATGTGAAATTACAAAATTGCCATGGTAACATCTCTTGTATCTCGATCAGAGCCAAGATGGCGTCGAGAGTTAAGATGGCGACCCTTGAAGAAGTTACGAAATTAAAAAAAGCGGCCGAAAATCATTTACAGGGACGAAGAATTCGATAGGTATTTTTTGTGAAGAAACTCAGAAAATTACGAACTTTAACAATAATGTATGCTTTAGACGAAAACTATATTCTTCTTCATGTTCTCGGTTTTCGATAGAATAAACCGGTAAAAACAATTACGGTTGTGAACGTAATTTGTCACCCACTATATTAAGAGGTAATCAAATGGTTTTCTCGTGAAATTAGGGAAATAATTTCACTTGCGTTTTGTCAAATTTCTGATAATTTCCCGAGCCTAAAGGCTCGGGAAATTATCAGAATTTTGACAAAACGCGCGTGAAATTGTTTCCTAATTTCACTCGTCGCCATTTGATTACGAGACTAAAAAAGTCCTGAAAGTAATAGCATTTTATCCTAATATAATAGGCCTCTTATGCATTCTTTAGTCTCATTGTGGCATTGCTGATGCTAACTTAGCTCCCACTGATGCAAAGTGTGAGTTTAGCACATTGGATATATCAACTGGGTCTGTTGACACATTTCTGCTCTCAGGATCCCTGATAGAAGAAATACATGTTTTGCGTTTAGAGTTATTGAAGCTTTTGCTTATCAAGGAATGCATTTCTTGCGACATTTGCTTTGCATTATTAATGTAAGCTGTAAAGAAACGAGAGAAACAAAGCATATTACTTATTCTAGTGAGTAATGATATTTTATTTCGATAGAATTTATATTTTTCAGTTCCACCAGAAGAAAGCTAGAACTGATTTTTAGACGCATACACTTACATATATAAACGTTGCAATTTATTTATAAATATGTAATGTATACATTCTTTTCCTTTAAAAAGGTTTTGCTAAAGTCTCTGTTTCATCCTCGCAAAATAAACAAAGGTTTTTATTGTTCCTTTAATGTTAAGTATACATGCACCCTCTTTAATAAATTGACGTCAATTTTCCATCGTCTATAACCTTATTAATCATAGAAATGACGTCAACTTTGTTCAAAACTAAAGTGAAACCACGAGGCGCAGCTGTCTTCGTGCCGTATGCAAAGTTTTCACTTTTCACTGACCTTGCTCGCGGCTTCTCTCATAAATTGTTTAGCTGCTGGAGTCCAAATGGCGGGCACAGTGAGGACCCATTGGATGTCCTTTGCGTCATAGGAATTGTCTCCTGTCCTTTGACGTATGGTTTTAAGTGCTTCATCCTTCATGTATTTTATCGACAACGAGAAAACAATAGTGGCGTCAACTTTCTTTCCGTTGGCTGCCGAGAGCGTAGTGTTCCGGTCCAAGGTCTACAAATAGACGAAGATGTTTCCAATTTTTGCAAACAGTTTCTAATGGTATATTTATCTTGGAAATTGGTTTTTTGGCTTTATCCTTGCTCTATACTTCTATGATCAGGAGAATTGCCAATTAGAAGTGAAGATAGATTCTGACAAATCCCAAATGTTAGGAATTGATTGATCATTTCGCATCACATTTAGGTGCAAAGCTTCAATAAGATTCCCATCCTACCATATAAAAATAGTGGTGTAACAAAACCCGAGATTAGTTGACATGAAAGTCTTCAAGAAGCGATAAATAGTAGTTATTAAAGGCATCATTAAGAAGAAGTGACGGCTATCTAGTGGTGAATGCAATGGGCACCTAAGTTGAGGATTACACAGCAGGCTATTCATCGAACGCAAAATGTTGAAACAACGAAAATCGAAAACTGACCCTTTTCCCTTGTTCCACATTTTTAAGGGTCAATAATAAAAGTTACGTATGTTGCAATCCAAGCAAAGTTGATTCGCCCCCAGTGAGGGTCACTCATCCGTCTGATGCACTACAGTAAATATCTTACCTTTGATTTGTGAAGTTCCATCTTAAAATGTCTTAAATAATAGTACTCCTTGTCATCTCCGTCCTTGAGATGGACATATTTATCATCAGCTTCGTATCCAAAAGAGTCAAATTCCAATTTGGGAGAGAGAAGGATCGACGTTGGGGTTTTCAAAGTGCTGCGTCCCTCTTCGTTTCCCCATTCTCTGTTCATGTGGATCCCTGCCTCGCCTCTACTGTCATTGAAGGAGAATGCAAATCCACTGTAGGTGGTTCCGAAATCAATAGCAACCACAGCCACGTACTTTGAGGTTGGTGCCATAGCAATTCGCTGACAGCAATAAAGACGAAGCATACGATTAAATTGTGTGTTAATGGGAGAAGTCTGATACCCGTAAACTTAAGAATGTAAAGAAAAGTAAAGTCCCCTGAAAGGAAATAGTGCAAGCTTATGCAGAAAGAAACGAATTTAGAAATGCTGAAAAAAAACGCTGTGAAGTTTGAGCTTATCACAATCGTGTAAAACTTGAAAAAGATTCCGTTTTAATTACAAAAGTTCCCACCAATAAAAAATAAAATAGGCAGTTTTAAGACTGCATGTGACTACTGTTAAAGCAAAATCTTTGTAGCACTGAAAAGAGCTAGAGGTTGTATAATAATACTTGAAGCTACTGTTGCAGAAAATTTGTGACGCATACTAAAAAGAAAACCTGCCACATCCCACATATTTCCAAAGGGAAAGATGATTAACGAAAGTGGTGACAAATGTACACTCAACCAATAATATTAAGGAAGTAGTAAAAACTATTCATGTTAGCAATAGTAATGATAATAAATATAACATGCAGTAAATGGCTTGAACCCGGGGGTAACATGTGAAGGTGTAGTCTGATCGTCCGGGTGAGTGTAGTCCTGAGTGAAGCCTTGACTCTGATGATGACTTCCGCACAGGTTGTCGAAACGTCAGTCACTACCACCGACAACAGTCCTTCTCAGACTACACTCACCCGGACGATCAGACTACACCTTCACAATAATTATAACAATAACAATATTAGTGATTTATGGGGGCTAGCTCAAGAACCTCACTGTTCGGTCTATCCTCTTGGCTCCAAAAATAACAATAACTACATGCATAGCTGCGTGAACTCGGGCTTTCAATATCGCACATCTGGAGTTATCTTTAGGGGACTGCCATATTGCAATTTCGTCATTGCCAGTCGTGAGTAAGTCTACTTGTGTTTATTTTTGTCTGCTGGAGTGTAATGAATGCTGTTGTGGTACTAGACAACCATCAAAATAATATATTACTATAAAGGAGTAGGTTCCTGCAAAGGATGAAATTCATGGACTTTTCAATTACTTTGGAGGCCAAGTTTAAGAAAAGCAATTTTAAAATTACTAAACATTATTTCTCAGTTTTCCATGGAAGTGCTGTTATTTTCAACTTGAAAATTGCTGAAGAAAAAGCATTGCAAAAATCAAGCCCTAGTCCTCATATTCAAGTATTTTCAAGGCCTTGAGTTTTTTATTTTTAAATTCAAGCATCTTCAAGGACTTTCAAGGCGTTTACGAACCCTGAGTAGGTAATTTTTTGTATTTGCCTTAAGGGGAAGGGAATTTTTTATATTTTATTATTATTTAATTTGGTACCCAGTCATAGTTTGTTGCCAAATGTTCACCCAAGGAGAGTTATCAGAAATCAGTAGATTGAAGCAATATTACTGTTCAATAGTTAATATTGTTTTTAATAGAAAAATCTCTGAATATTGAATATTGCTGATGGCTGCAACAAGAGAAGCAGTGCTATTTACAGTTTTAGTATATTCATTTAGAGGCATTTGACTTTTATTACATACCAAGATGGAATACACATATTTTGACCTTCTTGTGGATTTAAAAATGCATTTCGTACAAAAAGCTGAAAACCTCATCAAAAACCCTGCACATTCACTATAATTATTTCTTACAAGATTTTCTTATTTCTTACAAGGTTTTCTTATTTCTTACAAGAAGTAAGATCTAAACTTACTTCAGTTCCACAAGCATCAACAGTTTTTGGCAAATCATCTGATGGTAAATATTAATTTTGTTTAAAGATGAATTTTCATTTAATCTTTTAACTGCCATACTGAATAACATTAGATAAGGTGTTTGAATTCCAATAACTACATGATTTCCTTACAGAGTAGAGTGAATAGACAGCCACAGCACAACTCACATTGAACTTTCTGGTTTCACAGGCATGACTCTGAAAAAGGTACTATTTTGAACTTTATTAATTTTAACCCCTTTCAACTCATATATATTACCGTTATGTATACTCCAAAAATAATGTACTAAGCTATTCAGTGATGATACTTCAAGCAGCACACATATACCTTGAAGATGCCTTCTACCATAAATATCCCTTGCATGAGAATTGAATATTTTCAAGCCCACATTACCTTTACAATAGATAACAACTGCAGTACATCCTATCGTCAAGACAAAATTGTTGAAATTTTCAGATATAAGTGATTGAAAGGCTCAATTTAAGGAGGTACAATACTGATATCCTTCTATTGTAGCTTCTTGATAAAAAAGTACCAGAGTAGCTTTCACTGTATTGAAGTTCATAGTTAGTCTCAAACACATTTAAAAGTGTGGGTAGTTCTGTCTGCATTAAAAGTGATTGTCTGGTTAACTGAGACAAATTGAATACAACTGACCTCCAACATTCATTATTGACACCAGATCATTAGCAGATTTGATTCCTTGTTTGTTGTTTTAAATCAAAGAGCATAAACTTATTGCAACATAGTTGTCCAGACACCAACTCATTATCTTGGCTATATATATGGTGCAGTTATTGTTTTGCTAGGGTCAATGTACATTGGAGCAGGACCAGGGTTTTTCTCTATATCTGAACTCAGTTGAAATTTACAATAGTTTCATACGTGTGTCTGACTCTTATAAGGCCACATGGGTCTATTACAAGAAAACATTGATAAAAACCGACTTGCTCTATAATTCAATTCAATTATCCTGTGATTACCCTCACAGAACAATTCAACAAGTACTTCTTCTCCTGTTGTGTAACTTTATTTAATCTTATCCTCTTCGTATTAAGCCTACAAACAGTCTTTGTAACTCTTCTAACCTTCACATGACAACGTACGTAGCCAAGAGGACTTCGGTATGCTTAGACGAATACGCAAATTCCTTCAGTTTCCTGCCCTTTCTTCTGAGACGTTTTAGAGTAGCTTCTAGCATTCTACTGGGTTCTCGATCACGTCAAAATACACGGTTGTGTTTATATGTAAACATAATATGAGATAGCTCGTTTGACATAGCAGGTTTCGCTTGATATTTCTCGATAGAAGGTTCACTCGTAAATTGATCTCTCATAAAGTTCGTGGACCGACCCGTTCCCAAAACGCTCCACAACTTTTAGTGTGGGTCTACCGCGAATGGTGTGTGACTTTGTGTGTATACTGAGCGTCACAGCCATACATTGCTTTAAACCCGGCGCTCCAGGGTTCATTCCAGGCATGCGCTTAAACTTCACGCATGCGCTGTAGTGGGTCTGCGTTTTGTGACCTCGGGCGTTTCCTTCGGAAAGCCAGAGTATTAATTAAACTATGCTCCTTTTAATTTTGCCTGTTAACAATAAATTATCTGCTTTTTTCATGCCAAAGTTTTCCGTTTCTGTGAGGCTTTTATTTCATATAGTATGACATCCCACGATCTAGAATATATCGCAATTCCGCTATTCCACCGTTCCATCATTCTGTCGAATTGGGTCACCCTGTTAAACTCCGGACTTTGCTCACTTCGCAAATTAGCGGCTCTTTTGGGCATTATTACTGACTGAAATGATAAAATGCTCTCCGCTCTTCCGATAAAAGAAAGTATTTCTTCAAGTATCCACAATGCGTACGTCAAACCTATTTATATATTTCTGCAAGGAAAAGTCTTGCTTTCAATTACCTGCTGCCGGAGACGCCACTGTGATAATTATTTTGAGATGTTTTAAACATCATATTTATCATCTTTTGTCACGGCAAGAACTAAAAATTTATGTCTTCGGATCTAATGGACATAATTCGTCGATTCAAATGGTAAAATGTTCTGTATTGGAAGAAAAATTGATTTTGAGTTTTCATGATGCGCCGATCACATCTTTCAAGGTATTTTTGCCAAGAAAAGCCTTTTTTGTATTATTTTGAGATGTTTGTCATTCTCTGTAGTACTCCGAAACAAAGAACAAGTAGTTCAGGGAAACATTGCTTCATTGAACATCTGACTTTTCATAATTCAAACGGTGAAATGCTCCAGGCTATTAGCAGAAAAATTGTTTTCATTGAGTTTTCATGATGCGCCGATCACACCTTTCAAGATATTTTTGCGAGGAAAAGGTTTGTTTTTTCACGAGCCACCCCGAAATTATTTCCAGATGTTTACTTCGAGATGTTTATGTAGTACTCCGAAACAAAGAACAAGTAACTCCCGGAAAAATCAATTCAAAATTGGTTCAAGATCAGAGTTCTATTGTTACCCTCACTCACTCATAATGTAGCCACAATAAAACCAAGAAGCGCCTTCAAGTCAAGCACGACAAGAATGGTAATAATGATAGCAATTATAAACATACTGTTTTTCTAAGAAATGCTGGTTTCTTAGAGGTAAACGAAAAGCCTTACTGAGTCCCCAGAAATTATGAAGAAAAATCAATGCGTCCATTTATCATTACGCGAACTGCTCAAAGTGCCTTGAAAACAGAATCGCAGGAAAGTCATACCAATAGTGTTTTTGAGAAGGAATTGATGACTTCGTGCGAACTTTTGAGCTTACGGACAACCGAGTAAAAATTTAAAGACTCCATTGTAACTACGAAAGTTCGTACGCAATTAAAAAGCAAAATTAATTTAAGAAGTGCCAACAAGTCAGCTAAGCATGACGTGGAACAATATTGAAGATGTTAGCGATAAACATCCTGTTTCTTCTGAGAAATGTTGTTTTCTAAAAGATGAAGGACAAGCCTTATGTCGATATGCTTTAGTTTGAGCGGTATTTCTTTTCATCTTTGCTGCTTTACTCGATAATATCATACAATTGAGATACACTTGGAAAGTATTGTTTGCAACGATGCGTTGTGAGTCGAAGGATTCATCTTTGCGCTCTACTTATCCCAGCGCTATTAGCTTCATCGTCCTCTTTTAGTATTTTGCTTAGGGTTAGGAACACATACAGTAAAAACGCACATACAAGAACATGTGGATTAAGAACACCCAGGCTGAAATTTGGTATAAAAGGAGCATATATATAAGAACACATTCAGCCTGAAAATTGAAAATTGTTCTTATATGTAAAATATCTTCCCTTTTCAGTTTAATAGAACAAACAGTGTCTGTAGCTTTACTGTGGTATTGCACTAAGATCTCTGTATAAATGGTAGTAATTTCACTTGCTGTGTATAGCAAATGTACAACAACTGTATTTGGAATTAAAAGTCTTATAATTACATGAAAAATATGCAATGAAACGAATGTCACCATTTGTCAAAGTGTCAGTCACATCCTTTATTTAGTAAATCACTTACATTTTTTAGAAGTAAAAATTAAGAACACTTGAGAACACTTTCAGGCTGATTTCACTTAAAATACCCGATATATAAGAACCCAATCAGTCTGAACCCCGAAAATGGTGTTCTTCGTATGCGCGGGTTTTACTGTATTTTGCACTTCATATACTTTGAGTTTGCTCGAAGGTTGTATTTCGACAGGCAGATCAGAAGAGCTCTCTGGCTATACGGTTATCAACCATTTAAGTCTGCACTTCGTCTGCATATTTAAAAAACACTGCTAATTTCTGGCACTATATTTGAAAAATGCGTATGCTATCCATCGATTAAGGTCTTCAAAGATTATCGTCAGAATGATTGGCGAAGATTTTGATTTTCATCAAACAATCTCGAAGAGAATTCAACTTATTTGCAGGCTTGGTTAGTTAAAAAGATTTTAAACAATTCATAGAGGCGCTGGGAAATAGACAAAGGGGTCTTTGTCGTATTTCAAAACGGAGCTTGTCCAGGTAATCCGCAATTTGCAACGCATTATGATCAATCCGGGTTTTTTTCTTTACTGCGTCTATCACACATGAGTCGAAAGCAATGATCTTATACTCACCTTTTTAAAGCCCAAACTGCAGTATACTGAGTGCCGAGATTCGGTTGAGATTCCACAATCGTTCAACTGCGAGTATTCAAGACTCACACTGCGAGGTAGATGTTATCTCAGCGAGGTGGGCGTTAACTAACCAAACCTTAAAGTGCTACTTGACAGTGACACCTGACAGCGAGATTTGAATGCATCCGTAAACTTCGTAAGCCTTTTTATTACTGTGGCACGCGATGAAAATAAGTTAATTATTTCATTCAATGTGCGGTTGATAGAACTAACCGGTAACATGTTCAATAAGGTGTTAGATGCTTTAAATCTTATCGATTTGAAAGTAATACTTAATTTGCAAGTTAACATTGATGGGTGTAGTTGTTGACATTCATGAGAGTCGACATGTGTTTCATAGCAACTTAAAAAAAATATTAGCATTAAACATACTGTTTTTCCGAGAAGTGAAAGACAGCTTTGTTGTCTGCGAACAAGAGATCTGTATCAGTAGGGCGTCTTGTGCCTCGCAATCACTACCTACCTCTTTAGCTGGTAAACATGGCGCAAAGGAAGAAGAAAGAAGAAGAAATACAAGGCGACCGAGCGTTAACGTTGGAAAACGTCATAGAACGTCTTTCCAAATTAACTCGTGATTTCAAAAGCGATCCTGGGCGTTTCCGAGAAGAAGTTAAAATTCTAGTCAAAGAAGGCAAGAACGAGATTAAGCAGAAAAAGAGCCAAGCCAGGTTTGTGAGCCATCCACATTTGCTATCTTCACAGATGTTAAAACTTTGGGTGTGTTATAATCAATTCGAATGCCGGGGCACACCATGGATATAAATAGACGAAACTACACGGTGTTAATACCCGAAAACACCACCAGAATCATGTTTTGTCGCGGAGCATGAACGAACCTTTGTTCTACCACGAATGTTAGAATTTCAGCCGTCTCGTAAATCGCGGGTTTTTCGCAAAGGAGTCTAGGCAATAGACATTTAAAAAGGTTAAGTCACATAAGAGCGGTCCTAGGCTACTTAGTTGATCGCTCGCTAAATAACAAGGTACTTTGTCATGTTTTGATTGAATTGTATATTTATACTCGTGCTCGAAAACTAGGCCTAGAGTTCTTCAAAGTTTATCCGTCCAATACGAAAGAGAAGGGAATTCTCGGAGTTAAGGTAACAGCAACGTAGATCTTAACTCCAGAGATACTTCTTGCTCAACAGTAGCGAGAATCAAGTCAAGAATTTTTAAGATCGTCTGCAACATCTCGTTTACGGATTGTTTTGTTGATAGATTTAAGGGCTCGATCTTTCTAGCTTCGCGCCTCAGCAGAATGCAAACAAACGTCAAACATTGAATGGCAGGGAATTTTCCGAGGTGTGGATCTTGAATTTGTCTGTTTGGTCAATCGCGGACCTCTGAGTGAAAAATATCGCCAAACATACCTTGGTTTAGGGCGGAGCACATTCGGTCATATAACGAGTTTCGACCAATCTCCTGCGAGGGGAAATCTCTCTTTCAGAAAATCACATGATTTCGTGTGCAATTTGTGATTACTTGTTAACAATATCCATGCAAAAATTTGACGTTGTTTTCGCGTTTATTTCGTGTCATGGCTCACTGGTGCGGCCGTTCGCCTTAGAAACTAACTTGTTTCGAGCTTTTAAATTTCTGTCACTCTTTCAATATCAAGTATCGCTTAGGAGCAGTAAGCAGTAAACGTTCATTTATATAATCTTCCTGCGAACTGTTGTGTAAACTCCCCGAGAATTCTTTTTTGTGCTTTATTTGGTGTTTTTGTTCCAGCACTCTCCTTCAAAATTGAATTAAAATGTTGCTTATCACCTACCTTTCCTGTCTGTTAGGACCAAAACGCACAAGAAAATTTTTAAGAGGCCATCAAAAATTGCACGAGCCCTTAAGGCGACTGCCGCTCGTAGCCCTTTGGAAAAATTCACTGGTGCATTGTTTTTTTCAAATTGCGAGAGAAGAATCTCACTCACTCATTCGCTTCTTCACTCACTCACTCATCTCGACAGCAAAGGAGGCTTCGCCTCCTACAAGAGACAGTAGCCACAACAAAAAGGTAAGTTAGATTTTCACGGTCGATCGTTTTCACTATCACGCATCGTGAGAAAGATATGAAGTGGATAAAGTTGTTAAGAGTTCGCTGGTTGAGTGGCAGGTGATTTGCAGTCTAAACCGAACGCAGGGTTGTCGGAACAGCAACAAGATTTATTCCAAAAGGAACATAGTTTCCACTTGATAAACTTTACACTAGTACGTAACTTAGTAAAATTACACGGCCTCCGTCGACTTCAATAAACTTGAAAATACTCACGGCCTCCGCCAAATTCAAACACTGCCTCGTCACGCTTAACTGATCATGACCAACTCTCTTCGCTTCTGAAAACTTAGTCAAAACTTCGCTTAACCTATCCGACTGATATACTTACGCGATAAAATTCTAGAACTTTCTAAAAAAGGTCTAACTATAGCAACATTACAAAATATACCGCTTTTAGAAACGATTACATAATACACTAAAATAAACAAGCCATCATCCTTTCGCGAAGCTTGCAGAAGGTCATGCATGTCAGGCAACACTATTTTACGTAATAAAGGTTAAGAAATTACAATGTTATATGAGATAGGCAAGGAAGCTCTCCACCAAGTTTTAGGTCTCTCTGTTTTCCCAAACTTAAGATATTCGTCAAAAAGGTTTTGCGCAAATTTACAGAGCCCAGTATGGAGCCCGTATGTTGATGAGTATCTTTGTCCCACCAACCTGGCGGCCGGAAAATTACGTAAGTGTAAAACATCTGCAACTCACTTTGGCTATCTCGCCCACTGATTACCGTCAAACTAAATTAACAGAAATGTACAAAACCACTTTTTCCAACTCTTAATTTCCTAAAAAGACTAAAAATCTCTTCAAACTGCGCTGGTTTCTAAAACAACCACGATACTGAACTGAAATTTGAAAACAGATACGAATTTAGACCCCCTTGTGCCTGATGAAGGATAAGAATTTCCGTAGCTGTTCTTGGATTTTCGAATTTGAAGATGTCACACGAAAATCAGCAATATGCAGAAGCGCAACGGGAAAAATCACATGCAAAGTAATCGTTTCAGACGCACCAAAATTTATTAGGCATTTGTCCAAGATAGCTGCGTTCAATGAGAACAAAAATTTCAAGATGTCATTTTTTGTTATTTTTAAACCACTAAAATATTCAAAGCTTGGCTTAACTGTTGTTGGCTTTTGAGTTACCTCTTTCTGCTTTGTACTACTTCTCTTTTGCGTTCTGTTACACTAAAGGTGCACTTTTTCCAGTCAATCAGAAGGTATATATTTTTTTAATATTTTATTAGATGTGTGCGTTATTGACCAACCAAGCGTGAGGTCAAGACAGCTTTATGGACTGAGGCGAAGTTGAGGTCCATAAAAACGCAGAAAAAGAACGAGGCTAATATCCAGCCATCTCGACCGAACAAGCTTGGTGAATAAAGGATTTACCATATAGCAAAAGGATTTCGCTTTCGTTAATTAAGAATCTAGAATGAAAGCCAACTGTGTTTGTAGCTAAGGGTCGTTTAATTTTTTCTTTGTTTTGACTGTCTTCTGCCGCTTTTTTGCATTTTCGTCGCCGACATTGTCCAAAACTTTGAAAGTCCACTCCACGCATTTTTTTTTTTTTTTTGCGCGGAATCAATTCGGGCAATCCCGAGCGGACAAGATGGGCCCATCTTGCCCACGTGAGTAGCTAATTAGAACAGAGGATTCGCTTATTCTCGTCCACGGGCGCTTCCAGTAAAATTACTGAATTCTCTGGCTTATAAAGTATGCAACTTAGCAGTGTTACACGCCTTGCACAAATTAATCAGTTCCATCACTAGAACTGTTTTGAACAACTATAACAACGAGCTACAAGAACAACCCTCGGTACAATTAAAATCTAAGATGTATTTATTATAACCAAGAACAATAGCAATGAGCATCACAATTATCCCACATAGGTGCGACTAAAATCGAAGATCCAACACAGACACAGAACAATAGGATTTCATGGGGATCAATAATTATAATAGATAATTACTTCGGCACATGGCATTATGAGAAATATTGCAGCCAGCTTCGGCTTACGGTTTCAGCTGGCTGCAATATTTCTCATAATGCCATATGCCTCAGTAATTATGCATTAAATATCTGCAGTTTTGGTATTAATTTGTGTAATCTAGTTTTGATGTTACCTTCATATCCCTTTATGGTTGTTGTTCGTTAACTGTTTCTATTTTCTTTTTTTAAATTTTTTTAGCAAGCAAAGTGCAAAGCCGCAGGTAATGCATACAGGTGACCGCTGTATGGAGAACAAACAAAGCCAAGTGTAAGCTTCTCTGCGTGAATAAAAATTTCAGTCTATACATTTCAACACATACATACATACATACACACATACATATATACATTTATGCATACATGCATTGTAAATTTCCCTTGACTTACTTTTATTATAAGTGTCTTTTTTGTTATTTTTGTCAGCGGGCAAATTGCAGAGGTGAAAGTAATGCAGTCAGTGGACCAAAGACCCCGGATGGAGGACAAAAAAATTCAAGTGTAAGTTTCTCTACGTAAATATATAGCTTAGTGCGAGTGTGAAACTCGAATCACGTATGTCCGTCTTTAAAGTTTATTTCTTTATTTATTTAATCGCTTTCACCACACTTACAGTACCAAAAAGACTAAAATATACATATGAACAAGACACAGAAGAGAACGGAGGACAAAGGTGCGGGACAAACAATAAAGCGAGGCTCCAAATTAAGGGTGCCCTTACGAGAAATACACAAATACTAACTATGTAAACAATAGACAGTGTAAAAAGTATATATATAAAAAAAACCCAATAATAAAAGAAAAAACGATAGGAATAAATCTCTCATGCAGCCGACAAAAAGTCCTAATAGCAGCAGTTACCAACTAATAGAATATCACGTGACCTACTGCATTTGCAGCAGATCGACTTCCAGGTGTTGAAGTTAGTGACGTTATAGTTTGTACGAAAAGCAGCCGAATAGCGTTGGAGTACGTGAGATTTAAACTGATTGAGAGAACTAATAATACGATTGGACACATACCTACATAAATACATTTATGCATACATATATGGATACATACATACATACACACATAAATGCATACATACATACATACATGCATACATGCATACATACATGCATACTTTCATTGTAAAAGTCCCACGATTTCTGACGAATTAGTGGGTAACTTGTTGAAAGTTCTTGCGACTTGGAGTAGATTCATTGAAACGTGAAAAAAAATCCATATTGAAAGACCTTGAAAGAGAACATCATCAAGTCACAGTTTTTCCTGGCATCTTACCCTAAGAAGCCAAAAAATGGGGGAGATACTATAAAATTGCTGATATTCCAAGGGATTTCCATCGTCAAAGTGTTCTATCGACACGCTCTTTTTACAATTTTGCGATGTAGTAGTAGCTTTAGCCATCATTAATGCAAACTGTATACCCAGACCCCGAACCAGATAAACCCACACTCAGACCAAGAATACGGGTAATTGATTATTTAGGTACTACTTGTAAAGCTTTCTCACTTGTATAAAGCTTTCTCACTTGACTTGTGTTCGTTTTGTGATAGTTAATTTTTCCAGTTATCAAGTACTGTCATTTTCAGGACTTTCAACCAGGCAAAATGAATTAAAGTATTTCAAGAAAGTTTGAATCTCAAAACGTTTCTCAATAAACAAGTCATACTCTTAGAAGTATCCTTATCAGAAACAAAAATGTCTTTTCAGTACATTTACATGTACATACATAGAAGGAGCCGCAGAGGAAATGCTCTCTCCTGCTGATCAAGTAGAGAAACCTTTACTTCATAATGCAAATCTTCCACAATGTGTTTTGATTATGAGACTATGCCAGTGCTCTGTTATTTGTATTAAAACAGATCAAGGCAGTGAGCACATTTATAGATCATTCCCCGTGATTAAGTTCTCAGCGTTGAAAAATGTGAAAGGTGTAAGAAATCTGAAATTTAGAACACGTGCCGACGAAAAGTCAAAATTTTGGAGAAACCAAGAGGGCAAACACAATGCGCAGTAAATTTTTAAAAATCAGCTTTTCCAAAAAACAAGCTCCAGTGAAAATGGACTAATTAAAGAACTTATTTCCGGCGAAAAAAAGCGATAGGTGCATATTACGTTTCAACTTAAAAATCAAGATGGAAGATAAAAATCGCTAAATATTTTCGCATGTGTGAAAATGGGCATGTGGATCATATTTCAAAATTAAAGGGAATATGCAAATTTGTCCGTGAGTGAAGAGATCTCAAGTTCCACGGATTCTATCAATAGGAAGCAAGACTAAAATGGCCAAGAAATATTTCGGGACGTCAGATTTATTCAAAACAGTTTTTGATTTGCTATTATAAGCGATAAAAGTACGAATTTCTTACGTGTACAAAGCCCATGCGGTAAAATTCTTAGATGGTTGTTTACTTGCCTTCATGGCCAGAAATTGCGCAGCGTTATGTTGAAAATTCTGAAAAAACTTCGAGTTGAGGCAAAATCTTCTATTAAACTATACTTTCTGAACACATTGTTACTCGAACATAATATTTACCGGGACATCGAATCGTCAAATTGTCGCCAGGCCCTGCTTGATTACTTGCCTTCATGGCCAGAAATTGCACAACGTTATGTTGAAAATTCTGAAAAAACTTTGATTTGAGGCAAAATCTTCTATGAAACTATACTTTCTGAACACATTGTTACTCGAACATAATATTTACCGGGCCATCGAATAGTCAAATTGTCGCCAGGCCCTGCTTGAAGTCCGAAAGTTCAGTTTTCACTTTACGTCCATAAAAACAAAAAACAAAGAAACAAAAAAAAAGGCNACCTTTACTTCATAATGCAAATCTTCCACAATGTGTTTTGATTATGAGACTATGCCAGTGCTCTGTTATTTGTATTAAAACAGATCAAGGCAGTGAGCACATTTATAGATCATTCCCCGTGATTAAGTTCTCAGCGTTGAAAAATGTGAAAGGTGTAAGAAATCTGAAATTTAGAACACGTGCCGACGAAAAGTCAAAATTTTGGAGAAACCAAGAGGGCAAACACAATGCGCAGTAAATTTTTAAAAATCAGCTTTTCCAAAAAACAAGCTCCAGTGAAAATGGACTAATTAAAGAACTTATTTCCGGCGAAAAAAAGCGATAGGTGCATATTACGTTTCAACTTAAAAATCAAGATGGAAGATAAAAATCGCTAAATATTTTCGCATGTGTGAAAATGGGCATGTGGATCATATTTCAAAATTAAAGGGAATATGCAAATTTGTCCGTGAGTGAAGAGATCTCAAGTTCCACGGATTCTATCAATAGGAAGCAAGACTAAAATGGCCAAGAAATATTTCGGGACGTCAGATTTATTCAAAACAGTTTTTGATTTGCTATTATAAGCGATAAAAGTACGAATTTCTTACGTGTACAAAGCCCATGCGGTAAAATTCTTAGATGGTTGTTTACTTGCCTTCATGGCCAGAAATTGCGCAGCGTTATGTTGAAAATTCTGAAAAAACTTCGAGTTGAGGCAAAATCTTCTATTAAACTATACTTTCTGAACACATTGTTACTCGAACATAATATTTACCGGGCCATCGAATCGTCAAATTGTCGCCAGGCCCTGCTTGAAGTCCGAAAGTTCGGTCTTCACTTTACGTCCATAATTCGCATCGCCTTAGAGAATCGTAGTATCGTTGACTCGAGAGCTTATTCTGTCACCTTTAAGACCTAGATATCCATTCTTTTCCAAGCAGAGTATTGTATAGCATTATTAATTTACATTCTGAATTCCACAAGGTCTAACTCGATCGCAAATGAACGAAAAATCCGACCTGAAAATTTTGAGGGTCGGCCGCCCGGATGCCATATTTTCAAATTTAATCATTTAGTGAAGACGCATAGAATAATGCCCCTCTAGTACCCCCTAAAGCCGACAAAATATATGCAAAAACGACGGATTCTGATTGGCTTATTGATCTCCAAACTATAGGGGAAGTTTGGGGATAAAACGCTACTTAGTAGGAGAGGTAGGGGGGAAAGCGTTCTCGCGCGAGGCGATCGCGAGGTGCGGGCGGTTACGGATGGTTCAGGTGTCAAGGTGTTTTAAACAACTGAACGAACCAATACTGTCTGTCTCCAGAAGTAAGATTTAATATGCGGACATTTCATTTCTCAGACCTTCAGAAGAGATACAGGAGAGCGACAAAAGGGCCCTGCAGGTCAAAGAAAAACAACACAGCGTTTCCTTTTTAGAGGAGCAATTAAGAATCTGCAAAGACGATCTGAAGGCAAAAGAAAGAGAGATTGAGTCCCTTATTGAAAGGTTAGCTGCACCTCACCTTGTATTTTCTTTCTAACGATTTATCCTTAGGCTGGAGTTAGCATTTCGATTAAATGTAATCAGAAGAAACTCCCATAGTTGTATGAGATCTTGTATGCGCCTATCACTCCTGGTATCCAATTTACTTTTATATAATTTGGTTCATCGGCTAGTTTTGGCTATTCTCAGCTTTATTCAGTGAACGGTACGGTGGCTAGATTTCTTTCCTCGCGAAAATATAACCTTTTTCCTTTTTTTGTCAATTGTTAAATCATTTTACAATTATGATTTTCTAAAAGGCAGGACAGCCGTACTAGGAGCAGATCTTTAAGTGCTATTTCTTGTTTTTCTTTTGATACGGATTATTTAATATCATTTGACATTTAGACACGAGATTTTTGTTGTCCTGCTCTTGCAGAGTAAAGGCAAACAGCCGCTACGTGCAAACCAATTTTTCCTCGCTTGATACTTCACTATATTCTCCTTGGAACAGAAGCTTCGTTTTGTGTTTGCACTTAGAAGCCTTCCAATGGTGATTCTTACTTTTAGAAATTAAATTTTCTTCTTTAAGGGTGGCACGTTTTAGTGAGATGCAAACGAAACGGGACCAGAGGAATACCGAGGATACCCTCAGTTTGAACAGGCCATCCATAGTGGAAAGAGATTTTAAGAATTTAAAAAGTGAAGACCGGGAAGATGCTTTAATCGTTATAAGGAAACAGTACAATAGAGAAATGGGTGTATCTCCTAAAAGATTAAGCTGTATCATTTTCGAGGTGAGATTGTGGTACAAAGATTTTTAAACCAGGTATTTGTTGGAAAATCACAGGGGCATTTTGGCTTCACACTTGGGCACTTTCACGACATTGTCAATGGACACAAAAGAAAGGCGCACACGATCTACAAAAACTGAGAGAGAGAACGCAACGAATTGGCCCAGAGGAAGAGGAGGGGGGCTACTTCCAAGTAATAAGGCTAATGGGGATGCATCGCAGAAAAGGGTCGCATTTTATGACAGGATTGACAATGATGGGGTTGCATTTTCAATAAAATTAACAGAATGTGGCCTCACATTTTCAGGATTTTGGGGGTAATAAAAATTTCGGTGAGTAAGGATATATAAACGGGAAGATTCGTAGTTCAAAATTTGATGTTGTAGTAGTATTAAAAGTGACAAAGATGGGGTCTACAATTGGCCAAATGATTAACTATAATGGGATAGGAGTTCTTTCCATCTCTACAAGATACTTATGGTTTAATTACTTTCGATCCTTTTGCCTAGAATTCGGGTTGTTGGTGCTGAAACGACCATATTTGATTATCAACCTACTCATAAAAACTCCTTCACTTATAGTTCCATCATGACGCAGGTTTCAGAAATCTTTTTAATTATTATCAGGCAATCTACGAGCATATGTTGCAAACAAAAAGCCTTATGGTCGACAGTTTTAAAGAAATATCAAAGTTCGCTGTACATCATGGGCCATGGTTTGAGAGAATTTTCCATCAAAGCAGACTTCAGGTGCAGTTATAACAGTTTGAAAACAAATGTATGCTTAAAGACCGTATACGTATACCCTTCAATTTAATTTAGAACCAGATCTTGAAAGGCCAAAGTTCTTAAACTTGTTTTCATTCATTCTAGAGTTTTCTAGAGAATGTTCTATTTTATCACAAACGGCTGCGTAAAGAACTATTTAAATCACGTGAAACAATGAAAACGTGGACAATATTTTCCCGCGCTCTGACAGGCTTGCATTAAGTTCAGGAGCAGATTTTCAAACACCATCAAGCCTCCCTACTTTAATTTACGCATATTTTCTTTCCTCCATTTCATTATAAAATGATATATGATAAGTAATATATGTCACACCTCAACTTCTTGCAGGGAAAAGGAAATTCAACGAAAATCCCCATCAGTTTGTCCAAAGGTGGATCAGATTACCCTAGAGAAGTCCTGGAGAGCTTTTTACTGGCGGCTAAAGAATCTGCATCAGAACTTCAGGTTGAATATTTCGCTGAGGTAAGTCAAATTAAACTTAAAGCGAATCAGGCTGTGCACCAAAGCCGTGTTGGAGCTGTCGTTTCGCTAGGATATTGGTTACCATTTGCTATGGCGGCGGCTTTGATATTAGGTCAATAGGAGTAGCTTTTATCGGAAAAAGGAGATTGTATTTTGAAATGGGGCTCAGATCATTATCACCATTATCATTATTACCTATATTTTTTCATTACTATCGTTATTATTATATTTATTATTGTTTTGTAGATCAACCACAACAACTTTATCAAAATCTAAATACTATATGAACATTGCTAAAACAAGAGATCGTGTTGACATAATATGATAAAGTAAAATTGTTTTATGTTACTTTGTCTCCCTCAAATCCTGATCTTAAAAAAAGGGAAAAAGATAAAATGCTGCGAAAAACAAAACAAAACAAAACAAAACGAGTGACTAATTAAAAAACTACACCTTTCGCGGACACATTCTTTAAATAAATATTATCAATCATATGGTTACCAATTATTGTTATCATTATGGTTATTGCTATTCTAATTGTCATTATTGTTATTATAACCATTCATATAATTAGTATAATAATCTTCATTATTACTATTTTTATTATTGATTTTGTCATCATTGTTTTCATTAAAATCATTCTTATCATTATTATTTTTATAAACATCATTACTCTTATCATTAATACTAGTAGTAGTTAGTACAGATATTGTTTACGAGGCAGGGAAATATGGACGAAAGCGGGCACGGGTCCAGAGAGACAATTACGTTAGTTGGGACGAGATAGTTTTTTGACATAATATTTCGACATCTGTTTAAAATGATGTAGATTGATTTAGACTGGTAGCTTTGCTTGTATATATAAGTTTTAGGTTTGTATACACTTCGCGTGTTTGGTAACAAATAATTAAAAGTCAACTAACAGACATGGAGTAGTTTTTTCCTTGCCAAAAAAAAAAACAATCTATGACCCTTCCCCGGCTGCGTATCAAACAGGTTTGACCCTCCCAATTTGTAAAATATTTACTAATGACCCTCCCCTCCGACGCCCCGGCCCACCCCCCCTCCAATAAAAACGTACCTTCTATTAAGTTTTTAATCAAATAATTAAGGTGATTGTGGCTCCTTTCTCTAGGACTACTTTTTGGGTCAAATAATCGTTATTTGTCGTCAGAAAGAAGTTGGAGAGCAATCTTTTACAACAATTCCATGGGAACAATTATTAAAAGACTTGAGAGAGTACGTCAATATGCTCACCGGATTGACTTGGCGAATGGTGACACAAGTTCCACCATTGAGGCTCGAATACCAAACCCCCACCTTCACCAGTCAGTATCATCAAATGGTTGGATCCGATCACGAAGGAAAAGCTGAAAAATATGGTGAAAAGCCAGTCCGTTATTTGTGGCCCGGTTTGGTGGATGGGGGAGGAAGGGTAATTGCTCTCGGAGATGTTACAGCACTGTAAAGCAGTTAGATAATTGCACATATCATTCAACCACAAACATTAATACTAGTGTTCGGTATGCAGAGCTATAATATGTTTCAGTATCACTCACTGGCTGTTTGTTATGAATTTCTTTCAAGATTTATCTTATTTGGATTAACTTAGGTTAATGATTAACTATCTGCGATTCATCCTGTTCAGGACTATAACGTGTCTGTGCCAATAGAAATATAGTGAAACCTGTACGAATTGAGCCCCCATAATAATCGAACGCCTGTCATGCAAAGCTCTAATGTTGCGCACTTATATCTATTATAAAATGAACCACTGGGGGATACTAGTGTCGATTTTCTTTATTCTAGGAGAGCTGGCGGAAAGCTTCAAAATCGTTAGCTCGCTACATGTTTTTTTTTTTTAACCATAAGAAAGATTTGCATGCCGATAAAACTCGTTGAACCACAAACCTCAATGATTATAGCGCAGCTACTTTGGCTCTAGTCATATTCATATGTAACCTGCTTTTTCTAAGCTATCTGCCAGGTAAAAGATTATTTCGAATCAACTTAACGGCCTGCTCCCAGTTGGCTTGTTAGCTCAATTGGTAAAGCGCTGCACTTGTATCGCAGAGGTCACTGGTTCGAATCCCGTACAGGCCTGATTTTTTTCAGGTCTGATTTTCGCTATTGCATAAATAGCGCTCTCTACTGCGAGGATCGTGCATCATACGTAGGAAAAAGATTATATAAAAAGAAATTTAATCAAAAGGTCAATGATGTATACGCTTGACGAAAACCGTAAACGTAGCTTCTAATAATTACGCAAGTAACTAGCGCCAGTTTCGACAGACAAGCTGCTCTAGGTGTACATCATTAAAGGTTCTGTAGCTGTCCACTCAAAAAGGTTTTATTATATTCAGACGAATTAGAGCCAAGAAATCTTTTTTTCCGGTTTCCTCAGCTGTAAATGCCTTCATTGCCTAAAATGTACCCCTTAAAGTAGTAAGGTAGGACAGCCATGTTAGGTGCAACTTTTAAGTGGTACCAAATATAACTTTATGATAATTACAACACTCTTAACAAAGTTTTCAGTCACAGTTGCATTTAACGGAGTGAAAAGGCCGCAAAATTTTCTTTACTTAACGATCTTTAATACAGTATCTTTTTTCAAACTCAGTAGTGCATTGACCAAGTTTGCTGTTGTTTGAGGATGACGTCAAAGCCTCAACTATATAATTTAGACCCTTGGGAAGTTTGGTTATCAGTTTTAAGTATCGACATTAAACAACTTTATTTGGTGTTTAAAATGTAGTCTAAGCATTAAATGTATTCAATCAGTAAAAAAGTCAAGTTTGCGAAATTTGTGCCAAGTGATCAAATATTTAACTTCAACAAGGCTGTTCTGTGTAAGGCATCTTGTTAATGCACTAATAGTTAATTTACTCTGGATTGGAGAGGTAGTCAGAGTCCTTGTATAGGGAATGCTTCGAATACGCGCAACTCAGTATTAGCCTACTGACTTCTTGATCCTGAAATATTTTCATCTGCACGCAGGGTCAGTTTTATTTCTTTTCAACCCTGTACATGTGTAAGTAATAGCGAGGTCACTCGTGACTCAACTGCATCTGGGTCTTATCCACAGCTGTTACTCTCAAGGTGGTAGTGCGAAGTCCAGATTTGTTGGCTTGAGGCGAGCTAGAGAGTTACTTTCCCTATCAGAATACTGATGCGACAAGTAATTAAATCTCCATAAAATTGCACCATTGCTCGTATGAACTTGACTCCACAAAAACTCGCCATTTCATTTGTACTACATAGGTTTGTAATTTTTTCCAATTCTGGATGCTGCGATCCAAATTTGCACAAGTCTAATAACCCTCTTTTTCATTCCTATGTCACGTTTCGCTTCACGGTCGCTTAGTTGTATTTACACTGTCACGGTAACGCGATGATCGTATATTCACAGAGTTTTCTCCTGCCTACATCTGATAACTACACTCTATCAGTTTTCTGCCTCGGAAGGATAAACTCTAGAACGCATTTTGTGTGACCGCAAGTGTATTTGATAATTTAGAAATTAAAGACATGAGGCGGTGAATTCAACGAACTTTCTTTTTTCTCTTACAAAAGAAAGGAAACCAAACGCAACAGTGCACCCTGCGGTTTGACGTCATTACGTGTGGGCACTCAAGTCATGACAAAGACAAGTAAACCGCAAATTCAATTACCTTCATTTGCCGAGCTGAACAAGATATGAAAAAAAAAATTCCTAGTAGATTTTGGAACACTTTGGTTTTAGACCTGAAGGATTTCATTATTTTTTCTGATAATTGTTTTTTGGCCGTAATTTTTTGAGCCTCAAATTTACCAGCTGAAGCTTGCTGATCGAACTACGCAGGAAGAGTCTTCTCGGAATTAAAACTAAAATTAGCCATTATTTATATAATAACCTGAAGGCGACATATTGAAATTGATTGACCTGTAAACGACGAAAAAAAACACTTTTCTTTTCATTTAGTCAAAAGGTACCCTTTTTAGATAGAATACTACAGCTACTTATAACCAGTTCCTGTCAAAAACTTGATACTTTTTTTTCCAGCTCTCGACTTCGCAAGCAAAATAATCGTAGTTGTACTGTGTTGTATCCTTACTCTTAAACTTTTCTTTTTTTTTTTTTTTTTTGTATGTGTGATACATGCTTGTAAAGAAACAGATGATCACATTCGAAACCGAACTCTAGTTCCTCACCAACTATTTTTACGCTGGCTGCCTCACTGTTTTGGTTCAATTCATTTTTGTTTCGGTCAGTGCCACACTTCGTAGAGATTTACAAGTTGGAAATAAGTCATATTCAAATACACACATTCTCCAGTGTTTTTGTTTTTTTTTTTTTAATAGAATCGGTTAACCAGCCTTTTAATCAAGTGATGTAATGGAGACATCTTGAGATAAGCAATAGCCTCGTTTCTACGAAAAGAAGGAAAACAGAATTGAAGAGACTGGTAAACCAAAGGTTGAGTAAAACAAAATTTAAATACCCTGATCTCAAACAATTATTTGCGTCGGGACTGGTTAGGAAATCTTGAGGTGAGAAATGCTGTTAAAAATGGTTTAAGATTTGCCTTTTGTCACTGTAAACTGCTACAAGCAGTCTGGTAAAGTCTCCCGCACAGTGTTGTAAGAATGGCCCTGAAAAGCCCTATGAGGAGTGGTCAATCAACCTATGTATGTATCATTATTATTTTTTAGATCAACAACGACAACTTTATTAAAATGCAAATACTAACTGCATGCTACATTGCTAAAAAAAGAGATCGTGTTGATATAATACGATAAAGTAAAAATTGTTTTGCCTTTTTTTGTCTCCCTAAAATCCTGATCTTAAAAAAGGGAAAAAGATAAAATGCTGCGAATAACAAAAGAAAACAAAAACAAACGAGTGACTCATTTAAAAAACTACACCTCTCGCGGACACATTATTTAAATAAATATTATCGATAACTATCATTATTTAGTTCTTATTAACCGAGCGGGAGGTCTGTATGGGAGAATCTTGATCGAGGTCGCCAGTACAGAACGAACGCAGTGAGGTCTGTACCAGCGACCGAGGTCAAGATCCTCCCATACAGACCGACCTAGCCCGGTTAATAAGATGTTTATTATATGGCTGCCAATTTTTTATATTCTTTGTAGCATTTTTTTCTAGACCGGTTTAGATGCCGGTTTAGATGCCGGTTTAGATGGAAAAATTTAGACCGCTGTCAATATTGATTTCAGCCAATCAGATTCGTGAATTCGGTAGTTCCCAGTCCTTGTGAGACACAGCCATATGATAACGATTATTATTATTAGTGCGATTATTAATATTTTCATTATTGTTCATTATAACCATTCATAAGATTAGTGTTATCATCATCATTATTACTGTTTTTATCATTGATGTTGCTATTATTATTTTCATTATTATTTTTATCGACATCACTACTCTTATCATTAATACTAGTTGTAGTTAGTACAGATATAGTTTTATGAGACAGGGAAATAAGTATACCTACTGGTTAAGGTTTTAATACTAAAACTTATTCGGATCTAGCTGAATCATGTGGGCTGTTTAAATGACTTGATAATTACCGTATGATGGGACAATGACGGTGCCTTTGACCATCGATTGGTAGTAAAAAGGCGAAATCTAATTGCGTAGCTCGATACTCAAATTATTAGGTCGCGCCACCAAACGCGAGTCAGCCATTTTGAAATTTAGCACATCTACTATAATCTGGCGAGATATGACACAATCCTCGACCAATCAGAGCGCCCGCATCTCAATAATTACCGGAAAAATTATGCTGAATTTAAATGTTACTATATCAGAATTCAGAGTAGCACTACTAGCTATGCGTTGATGAAAGCATTTAAATTCTCTACGTGAAAAACATTGAGAAACCCGCGTAACTACAACCTCTAATCTGAATTCTTATGAAAGCCATGGAGGTCGTTTCGAATCACGGAAAACGAGACAAGAGAAGTTAATTAGAGTCATTCACGAAAAAGAACTGAATACGCATGCTTTTGTAGAAAACGTTAAAAAACGTAAAGACAGCCTATTTAATCGCTTATTTTTTTACTCAAACAATTAAGGTGATCGTGACTTCTTTCTCCAGAACTACTTTTTGAGCAAAATAAGCGCTATTTGCCGTCAGAAAGAAGCTAGAGAGCGATCTTCTGCACCAATTCCATGGGAACAATTATTAAAATACTTGAATGACTACGTCAAGGTACTCACCGGATTGACTTGGCGAATGGTGACACAAGTTCCACCACTGAGGCTCGAATACAATACCCCCACCTTCACTAGTCAACATCACCAAATCGTTGGATCTGATCACGAAGGAAAAGCAGAAAAATATGGTGAAAAGCCAGTCCGTTCTTTGTGGCCCGGTTTGGTGGATGGGGGAGGAAGGGTGATTTTTCTCGGAGATGTTACAGCACTAAAAAGCAGTTAGATAATTGCACATATCATTCAATCATGCACAAACATTAATCACTAGTGTTCGGTATGCAGGGCTTTAAGATGTTTCAGTTTCATTCATTGGCTGTTTGTTATGAATTTCTATCAAGTTCATTAGATTTGGTTTAACTTAGGTTAATGGTTAACTATCTGTAGTTCCTCCTGCTCAGGGCTACAGCGTGTCAGTGCTAATAGAAATATGGTGAAACCTGAACGAACTGAACCGCATATTAATCGAACGCCTGCCAAAGCTCTGATGTTGCGCCCTTATATCTATTATAAAACGAACCACTAGTGCGATATAAGTGTCGATTTTCTTTATTCCTGGAGAGCTGGCGGAAAGCTTTAAAATCATGTTCCATTCAGCTCACTACATTTTTTTTTTCACCATGAGAAAGATTAGCATGTCGATAAAGAGCGTTGAGCCACAAACTGAACCTCAATGATTAATAGCGCAGCTACTTTGGCTCTAATGATATTTACATGTAACCTGATTTTCTTAGCTATCTGCCATGAAAGAGATTATATAGGAAGAAAAAGGGTCAAATAGTTTGATTTGATCAAAAAGCCAATGGTATATACGCTGGACGCAAACTGTAAACGTAGCTTCTAATAATTATACAAGTAACTAGCACCAGTTTCGACAGACAACCTGCTCTAGGTATACACCATCAAGGGTCCTGTGGCTCTCCGCTCAAAAAGGTTTCGTTACATTCAGATGAACTAGAGCCAAGAATCCTGTTTTTTTTCCGGTTTTCTAAGCTGTAAATGCCTTAATTGCTTGATATTTACCCCTTAAGAGTAGTAAAGCACGACAGCCATGTTAAGTGCAACTTTTAAGTGGTACCAAATATAGCTTTTATGATAATTACAACACTCATAACAAAATTTTCAATCAGAGTTGCATTTAACGGAGTGAAAAAGCCGCAAAATTTTATTACTTAGGGATCTTTAATACAATATCAAATCTTTTTTCAAACTAGTATATTGACCAAGTTTGCCGTGGTTTGAGGATGACGTCAAAGCCTCAACTTTATAATTTAAACCCTTAGGAAGTTTGTATATCAGTTTTAGGTATTAACATTAGACCACTTTGTTTGATGATTAAAATGTGGCTAAAGCACTAATTGTATTCAATAAAAGTCATTTATTTCGAAATTTGTGGCGAGTGATCAAATATTTAACTTTATATTAAACAAGGCTGTTCTAGTTAAGGGATCTAGTTAACGCGTCAATATTTAATTCAGTTTACTCTGGATTGGAGAGTTAGTCAGAGTCCTTGTATGGAAAATACTTCAAATACACGCAACTAATTGACCCTGAAATCTTTTCATCTGTACGCAGAATTTGTTTGATTTCTTTTCAACCCCGTACATGTGTAATCACTAGCGAGGTCACTCGTGACTCAACTGCATTTAGGTCGTATCCACAGCTGTTACTCTCAAGGTGGTAGTACGAAGTCCAGATTTGTTGGCTTGAGGCGAGCGAGAAAGTTACTTTCCCTATCAGAAGGCTGATGCGACAAGTAATTAAATCTCCAAAAAATTGCACCATTGCTTGTGTGAGCTCGATTCTACAAAAAAACTCGCCATTTCAGTTGTACTACATGGGTTTGTAATTTTTCCAATTCTGGATACTACGATCCAAATCTGCACAAGTCAAATAACCCTCTTTTTCATTCCTATGCCACGTCTCGCTTCACAGTCGCTTAGTTACTGTCACGGTAACGCGATAGTCGTATGTTCACAGAGTTTTCTCCTGCCTTCTGATATGATAACTACACTCTATCAGTTTTCTGCCTCAAAACGGTAAACTTTAGAACGCATTTTATATGACCGCAAGTGTGTGTATTTGATAATTAGAAATTAAAGAAATAGGGCAGCGAATTCAACGAACTTTCTTTTGTCTCTTTCAAAAGAAAGGTAATCAAACGCAACAGTGCACCCTGCGGTTTGACGTCATTAAGTGTGGGCACTCTCGTTCAGTAACAAAGGCAAGTCAACCGCAAATCCAATTACCTTCATTTGCCGAGCTGGATAAGATAAGAAAAAAATTTTTCCAGTAGATCTTGGAACACTTTGGTTTTAGACCTGTAGGATTTCATTAATTTTCTAGATAATTGTTTTTTGGCCGTAATTTTTTGAGCCTCAGATGATTTACCAGCTGAAGCTTGCTGATCGAACTACGCAGGAAGAGTCTTGTCGGAATCAAAACTAAAATTAGCCATTATTAATATGATAGCCTGAGGGCGACATGTTAAGAAAAAATTAGAAAAAAAAATATTCTGTTGGAATAAATTGATTGACCCGTAAACGGGGAAAAAAAAAACATTTTTCTTTTTCATTTAGTCGAAAGGTACCCTTTTTAGATAGAATATTACAGCTACTTATAACCAGTTCCTGTCAAAAACTTGTTATTTTTTTTTTCCAGCTCTTACTCCGCAAGCAAAATAATCGAGGTTGTGTTGTATCCTTACTCTTAAACTTTTCCTTTTTGTTTTGTATGTGTGATATATGCTTGTAAAGAAACTGATATCACATTCGAAACTCTAGTTCCTCACCAACTATTTTTACGCTGGCTGCCTCACTGTTTTGGTTCAATTCATTTTTGTTTCGGTCAGTGTCACGCTTCGCAGAGATTTACAAGTTGGAAATAAACCATATTTAAATACGCACATTCTCAATTTTTTTTAATAGAATCGGTTAACTAGCCTTTTAATCAAGTGATGTAATGGAGATATCTTGGGATAAGCAATAGGCTCGTTTCTACGCAAATAAGGAAAACAGAATTTAAGAGACCGGTAAACCAAGGGTTGAGTAAAACAAAATTTAAATACCCTGATCTGAAACAATTATTTGCGTCGGGACTGGTTAGGAAATCTTGAGGTGAGAAATGCTGTTAAAAATGGTTTACGTCTGTGATAAGTCGTGGCTAACGCGTATAACCCCGATTTTTCGCCGATTACAGGGTTGAATAAATGTTTCTTCCCTCAGAGTTTGAAAGACGAGATAAGCCTTCTAATTAGATTCTTCGGGAAGTGAGACCAGATTTGCTTGTTAAACATTTGTGTTATGTTGTTATCGATCAGAATATTTATGATCCAAAAAAAAAAGCTTGCCTTAAACTAGGTATACTGTTATTTATACTAAGTAATGGTCATCAGCCCGGAGGAAATTATTGTATAATTACGCAGTTTTCTGAGTCACTTGGCGTGAGATGGCAAGATTTGCTTTGTTGGTGCGTAAAAAAAACAAGGAAACTGCAAAAAGAAAAATTAGAGGCGAGAATGCGCTTTACCTAAAAAGGCGAAATGCACTTAATTGCATCAACGTTGTCAAAGGAAAAAAAAAAAAACAAATAAAAAAGAAATATCAAATCAAACTGAAGGACGTTGGAAGTAAAACATGAGTTCATTAGCTAAATCGAAGTTCCTTTCTTCATCTCAAGAGCAAATGGGAGAGCAGCCTTGAAATTATTGATCCGGAGTCACATTTAAGAGCGTGTGTTTGAAAACTGTTCAGATCCACAGAACGAGATAGCTGTATAGTATGACTTTTACATAGATCCACCCAGTCAATTTTGTGTGACGTAAGTTTAACATAAAAAAGATCATTGTCATTTCCGGGCATAGAGTTATAAGCAACTATGCAATCTGAGATCATCAAGTGTTTGCTAGCACTCCAACCGTAACATAAACAAGGAAACTGCAAATTTGCAGGAGGAGTGTAGGGAACCAAACTCTACAGTTTATCTTTTGATAGGAGCATAAGTGCCCTGCCTATCCGGCGTCTTTCTATTTTAGGTGGAAATAGTGCAGATTAATCAGTTAAACGCCGGATTCTAGTATTTTGTCTGTAATTTTAGCCACTGAAGATGCAATTAGTCGTGTTGATGGAATCACGAGAGCCTTTGGCGACTGAAATGAGCCAAAATAGGTATCAACACGCATTAAATTGTTAAACTTGTAGATTGAGATCGAATTTCTTCTTTGACCGCGTTTTATGCTTCCTAAATGACTGGCATATTAGTCGTAATCCTCAGCTATGGCGTTATGCATATTGGGTTTCATCAACAGCAACTTCCTTTGCGGAGTCGGTGAACTATTTCGCAATCGCAGTACCGTTGTGTCGTGACTGACAAACATGACTAAGAGAGAGCCGTGTGGAATTTTATTGTTATCAATCAATGGTCCCGCTCCACTTTCATGCGAGATAACAGAATGAAACTTAAATTAGTCATATTACTTAAGGCGCTCCTTTCACCCAAAGTAAAATCGAGGAAAGAGAAATGCCAACGATTAGCAACGCTATTTCACCTTGTGGCAAAACATCGCCACGCGTGAATTAATTTGGAGCACAAGACAGAAAGTGATGTCAAGGTCCTAAAAAAAGCAGAGCCTTATTAAATAAACTCCGTTTCTCTGGCGTGTGTCCGAGTGCCCATGCTAATATGCAAAGTGATCTAATACGCCATTCCCAAAACTCTTTTGATTAGCAAAATTACCTAATATGCCCTCACCAAGCCCCTTTCACTCCGCCATTAGTAGTAAATACCAGTTAGTATCCTTATAAGTCATTCTATTTCTGGACTGAAAAGGCGTGCCGAATGCAATCATCGATGCTCACCAGGCATGACGACAATGGCGCTCTTATCAACACAACGCGAAACCCGTAGAATTTTGTTCAAACAGGTTTTCCTGCTGGTATCAGATTTATGATCTCAAGAATCAGCAGAAATTCTTGGTTTTATGCACGTAGTGTATTTTTCATTACGCGTTCGCGTCAAACATGAGATTTACGATCAAATGGGCGGACGTTTTCCTCCACGTCACTGTGTGGGTTGTGACGGCATCAGGTCATCAGGGTCTCATGATACGACATGCCTGCGTTACATTCCGTACACGTAAGGTTTACCAAGTGATTGTTTTTCCCAAAATAGCCCACGCTGAAGATATGTGGATATATTTAAGCTCTTTGGGTATCTAACTCTCCATATGAGCTTCAAAACTCCGAGGTACTGCACACTATCTTCTGCTACTAAAATCAAATGGATTTCCGTCACAAAAGGGAACATCTTTCCTTCTCCATCGAGAACATTCTACAGGACGACTTTTCCCACAGAGTGGGAGATAATAATGTAAAAATTTCGCCACTTAGGTCAACTTTTGCGAAGCGCTTGGCTAGTGCACCCTACCAATTGTATGGAATCCATTATTTCAGACCGATGATTGTTAGCTATTTGCCCGTCGTTCATAGAGTAGATGCACGATTTTTGCGGGTTGACGAGGAAAACGAACAGAAAATAGTGGATCAGAATCCCGCTAATAACGACAATTTTTCAGGTTATGAAGACGAATCTACGCTAGAAAATAATGAAGGTAATTGTTTTTTTTTTTTAAGTATTCTTGTTTATTTGATTACTTCAGGCAGTAATAACTCTGTACCTGCGTTACGCCTCAGACATCTATGGAACGTAATTTACATAAGCGTTAAATTACGTTCTGTGTGACATAAGTCGTTTATAAGGTCACAAGGTGTTGTATTTGTTTCAAAGCTAACTGTTTCTCTAACGTTCCCTTAGTTAAAGAAAAAATGCTATTTCAATTCTATTCCACATTGGTAGACAGGAGGGAGCAAAATCACTATTACTTAATGTGACCAGTTCCATATTCAAATCCCACTCGTAAACGAGGTGAAACGGATTTTGTTGTTTTCCCTGTATAGTAGAGATTTAAGCACCAGTGAACTCAATCACCAGTCGCTGTTGGGGAAATGAGTCATTAGCGCGTTATACGAAAATCAATGGGAGGGTTCTAATATGAATAAACCCCTTTCTGGCTCGCTGGTATGTCGGCTAACAATGTCCTTGGCTGAGAGATTTTCCTCAAAATTTCACCTCGAAGCTTCGTTCTCGGTCAAGTATTCATTATTCGGACAATATCTCAGCTGCAGACATTATCAGCCGACATACTAGAATGAATAGTTTCATTCAGTCTAAATATGTCAAATATGACTGAGGTTTTTTTTACCTTCAGACGCCAAAACAGACGAGAAAGGCGATGAAAAACCCATGCTGTTAGAAATGGACAACAGCGAGGACTTGACCCCGAAAAGAAGGCAGAAACATCGGAGTCATTTCACTCAACATCAGGTCCAACATCTCGATAAATTATTTTCCCGCCAAAAATACCTAACACGCGACGAACGCACACTGTTGGCGAGACGCCTGGAAATGACAGAACTTCAAATTAGAAACTGGTTTCAGAACCGCAGATATTTGGAAAGGAAAAGAACTAACGAATGCACGAATCAAGTCAAAGCAAATGAACCTTGGAAATGAGCTATTGAAACGAGAATATTATTGAAAGGTGCTTTTCGTCTAGTCACGAGCCTGGGACAAGAGAAAAACTCTGAGCCCCCCCCCCCCCCCCCTCCCCACGAGGAATCGAACTTCAGACCTTCAGATTCCGCGCTCCGATACCCAACCACGGAGTCACACAGACTCTATGGAGACCAATGTCCATTACGAAGTTGATTTGACAACAACATTATTTATGTAAAGGTATAGTTAGGTTATTAAAAGAAATGGTGCAAGTGGAAAAGACTAAACGTTTTCCTCTCAGTGCCTAGTTGTTCGAAGGCCGAGGGTTAAATTTTAATCCAGGTTTCTTTATTTCTCTATTCAGGAGCCTTTTTAGGATAATTTTCCCTGTTATTCTTAAAGCATTCAATCGTCAAATTGTAGACAAAAAGAATTAAACTGAGTTTTCTTTTAAGGCTCTCAGATCTGAAATAAAATTTCAAGCTTACCCTGGGTTATCTTAACCCAGCTTTGAACAACCCAGCCCTCTGGTTCGCACCGAATCGCGATTAAATGATTCCATGGAAATGTGAGAAGTAGAAAAGGGGGGAGTACACCTCGTTGACAGAAGAATGAAGAGAGAAACAGGTTCTCAGTACCAGCCCTCCTTTTCCCTCTCCCCACCCCCCTCCACCTCCCATCCAACGAAACAAATCCAGCGCAGAACAAAACGAAATTCCGTAAGACCGAAAGAAAAACTAAACTTTCATTGTGATTGCATGCAACTCTGGGAAGAGACTTTGTCGCTCATATAAGCTAAAAATCAGAAAAAAAGGACGAAGAAATTGCTGTCTTGTCTGAATATACGTGTAAAGATAACCATTTAGGATGTGGAATGGGTTACTACTAGTATTCAGACTTGAGTCTGCATGAGTCTGCAGGTCATTATGTGTGGTCTGCGGTAGTGGAACACCTAACACACTATACCCTTCAATGACTCGACCTTGACCCTTTACATCTTAACGTCAGTATACATATTCTTCATACTGTTCTCTATACATTTCGTAAGGAGATGACAGAGAACATTTTTTTAACAATCAAGAGCCTCTTTAGCTGATGATCATTTCCTTTACTCTCCCGACTTTAATGTGTGATTCAGGGGTGATATTGTTAGGAGAAATTAGATGCTGGTCGTTCTAAGGAGTCAAGACAACCTCGTTCCCAGGACCTTTTCCCTTAGCTGGGGAAAAGGCCCTGGGAACGAGGTTGGGGTCAAGGATTAATCTGCAGCAGTAATGCTTGATTACTGAAACATACTGATACAAAGAGCAGTGGCAAACTAGATAAACAAATTTTGTTTCTGATAATAACTATTCACACTACACTTTCACACTACACACTAATCACATTACAGTTTCGCATGCTACCCCCGCCGAGTTAAAACCATTTACCTCAATAAACTCAATGTTTTGCATGGCGAATAGTATAAATTTTATTTGTCACAATAATCAAAAACTATTTTATGCTAATTACTAAGCCTATGAAAGGGCTCGTACACAAAAGTGAAAAAAATGTAAAAACTTCGATAGCGATTAAATTTTTTTTTTACTAAAACTTACAGCATTCCGCTAACCTGTTCGAGAAATTTAGTAAGTAAAACGAAGTGCAATTATGATAATAAACGTAGTTAAAGCAGCGGAGGAGAACAAGAAGACGAGGGAGGTTTGGGTCCGACCGAGTAATTATTGACGTCACCCAACCCAAACCTCCCTCGGTTTTTGGACAGACTGCGCACCATTTGACTTGTTTAACACTTGGAGGAGGCTTGCATTTCGCATGAAATGCATTTCGAGTTGAAGCAGTGTTGGTTTCTCGCTGCTTTCACTATTATCACAGGTTGCATTTATTGTTTGAATTACGTTTCATTAATCTTCCAAGTAGGGAAAACTGTAATGAAACTGTATCTTAAATACTGAGCACACTTTATTGACATACTAATTGATTTTGTATATGTTAAATGGTAATTTTTGAATGTTGAATGCGATGTGATCAATGCTTAATGGTAAATGCTAAATGTTAAATGCTAAGTGTTAAATGCTAAATGTTAAATGTTAAAAGTTAAATGCTAAATACTGAATGCTGATTACTAAATGCTAAATGTTACATGTTAAACGCTGAATGCTGAATGCTAAATGCTAAATGCTAAATTCAAAATGCTAAATTCAAAATGCAAAATGCAAAATGCCAAATGCCAAATGCCAAATGCTAAATGTTGTACGCTGTACACTAAATGCTGAATGCTGAATGCTGAGTGCTGATTGCTGAAAAGGACCAGTCATCATGATTTATCGCCTAGGCGGAGGGAAAGAGTGGAGGAATCGAGGGGTCGCCAACCAAGAGATGCACGCTACGTATAGACTATTTACAGCTGTCAAACACGATTATCTCGCTTTGATTTGGCTTGAAGCAATATGTTTTCGCAGCAAAAGTACTAGGAGGCCTGGAAACCAGCAATGGCTGCCAGGCATATGATGGCAGAGAGAACAAGTGGAGAACTTGTGGCACTTCTGTTGTTCATGGTGACTTTTTGCGAAGTCGTTGGTATTAACGTCGTTGTCGAAGGGCAAACCAGTTCTTGTTTATATGGAATGTTGATCATTGGCTTAGGCTGTTGCTTTCTGTCAACGCCCTGTAAAGTGAGAAGAGGAGAGCACTATATACTATGCAGTCACAGAGCGGTGCAGCGCAGGAGAGAAGGACATTGTGTACCCTAGCTAGTTGTGTGACGCGTTTCGGGTGCTACACTGTAAAATACCTCATGAGTCACTTGTATTTTCTCAGTATTGAATACACGCAAGCCTATTGCCAAAAATTGATAAAAATAAATAAAAACCAAGAGAATATAAACTGCAGTATATGTTCTCTCGGTGAAAACCGTACAAAAAAATAGATTTCGCGGTTGGCATACATATTTCGTACTTTTTTTACCATGATTATCGTCACTTTGAACGTAGTCATCATAAATTGTGAAAGTTTATGTTCTTACGAAATGCGAGGCCAAGTGCCATGTAAACTTTTAGTATCCTCAGAATCTATTCAATAATTGTGAGCCGACGCGCATGAACACTGTAAGCTGTTTTCTAGTGTCGAGTCAAAAATCCCCGTGGAAAAAAAAAGAAAATTATACACCGAATGCAAATATGGCGTCCAAGTTGAGTTGCCATTGTTCTGGACTGACTAGCCTCTAACACATGTAATAATCCTTTTGCATTTCCACGTGAAGACGAGGCTAGTGAGTCCAGAACAATGGCAATTCAAATTGGACGCCATATTTGCATTCGGTGTATAGAAAAAAAGGAAAAAAAGCTAATGGATGGCGTGCAACCGCCGCTCCATCCTTTGCTCGTCTGAAGGTTTGAAGAAATAAAACAAGCAATTTTTTAATTTTTTCTAAGCTCACTTAAAGATAAAACGATAAGATATTTATAAGTACCGGTAATGGCGCATGCGCGCGCGCCTGACAAAGTGAAACCACTTCCTTGGAGTTTTGGTAAGCTTCCTTCAAGCCATTGTTGACTATGTTTGTCCAGAAACTGGTTTGTGTTTGATCGCTACCTCTGTTTAAAAAAACAAATTACTGATATGGCAATTATGATCGCTAAGTTTCTCTTCTGTTGTTGAAAAAGGTCGCTCGTTCGCTTAGCTCATTCGTGAAATACTTTTCAATAAAAGCAGAGAAATTTCGTATCTCCAGGCGGTCATGTAATATCCTCTAATTAAAAACTAGATCGTTTCATAATGCAATTTAAGAGTTTTTCGTGGCCATCATGGGTTATGATCCATTATACCATTGAAACCTTCTGTTTGTTCTGACAAAATAAAGTTGGGAAGATTAATCTATAATTTGGGGCATTTATAAAACACAATTACTCCACTCACGCCCGTTGGATATGAGATAATTATGAACAACTTGGCATCTATCATCTCATATCCAACACGCGCTTGTGGAATAGTCGTTTTTTATCGTATGATCCGTACGGGGCCCCCACGCGGTTTATTTGAAAAATTGAAAAAATCTTCATGTGAGGGCCGTATGCGATGCAAAGAAAGTTTAGCGGCCCACGAGCTGCGAGTGAATAGTAGAAAAGAGTTAAAATCAAGAGAGACAGTCACATGATAAAATGTTTGTTGATAGTCATTAGAGAGATTTAGCACCGCGTTTATGTGAAACGGCGAACTTCAGCTTGCGCTTTCACGTTTCATATAATATAGCGTGAACCTTGCTACTTTAGCTTCGCGTGAGCTCACGTCGTGGTAGAGTTGAAGGCGCCCTTGAATGACTTACAAGAAATGGTTTTGTGCCCTTTTTCCGGTAATTAACTTCTTCTCAGTGAGAGAAAGAGTTAAGAAAATTTTGCGTGCACGGCACTCGCGAAACAGGTTACTTTCACGTAGAAACGGCAAAGCACGACCGGTAAGCGTGAAAAAAAGGCGGGAAAAACCAAGGTCACTCCTGCCCCTCACGTTTTACGTAAACGCGGTGCCAAATCTCTCTGTCAGCTCAAATGCACAGGCGGCTAAACACAGACGACTAGAAGCCGCAAACTGTGCCAAGAGTGCCCTCTCCTGTTTTTGAATAATTCACCTTTCAAAAGCCTGGTACCATGACTCATAAGCTCCCCGGTCGAAGGACGTACACTTCGTGAGGTTGACTTTGGGGTAATACATCAGAAATGACAAGCACATTTCATCAATTGTTTCGAGTCCACCCTGTTAAAAAAGGGTTGTATAAAGCACAAAGATCACTGTTTCGGAAGTTTACATGGACACAGATCCGTGTACATATTACAAAATGAAGGAATACGTTCTTTTCGTCATGTCACGAGGGTGGCAGAAAGAAAAAATTCCAAGACCCACGGATTTTGCGCTCCGACGTTCCACCACTGAGCCACAGAGAATCGCATCCGAAATCCATTTTCAATACCAGTCTCCCAAAATGTAATAAACATGACGATACCAACATCTCTCGGTCGCATGGGTGACGGTCGTTAAAATTATCATTGTGGAGGCCTGGGGCCCGTTTCTCGAAAGTCCTGGTAATTTAACGGGCCCCAAGCCATGTTTTAAAATCAAAATTTAAAGGATAGGAAAGCAGCTTCGGGCACTCAAACCAGTCCTTTTTGTTTCGTTAGCTGATAGTTCTATTTTATCATTTTCAAAACTTTTGAAATCCCCATCTTGAATGAAAACAAAACAGCTTTAAGGATCCGTCAAGTTATCACTACTTTCAAGAAACGGGTTTCTGGACACAAAGGACATTTGTGTGTCCAAATTATGATCGAAAATTGCTTGGCGTGCTTTACAAAATAATTTTCATCCACCAATATAACTTTGTTATGTCTTCGTTAACTTTTAGCAAGTCCATTGTATGGGCGCTTTCTTCATTCACGTTGACTCACCTTTGTTTTTGTTTGTCGGTCCTCGGTGTTATAAATGCAAACATTAATCAACGAATCACCCTGTCAAGAAAATAAATGGTAAATCGTTTTTCTTTTAATTGTGTCAATATCATACCATTGAAGCCGATTGGTTCTTTCAAGCCCTTTTTTATTGGTTGATATTGCTGATGCAGAAGTGAACTTTCCAATTTAACCTGTCCGATTTCATGCTGCTTTTTGATCAAACAAGCGACATTGGACTGTTCAAGAGCCAGTTAAAGAAAATGTTGATTTTTTAAATAGCAAATATCATCGTCCAATTAGTTTCATCTACCAGTTAGTCATTGTTAACCTAAAAAAAATGAATGAAAGCAAACAAACAATAGTTTCTGTGGCTACTGAGCAACCAAACTGGTGATTTGGATAGCTCGGAAAATGAGATACTGACTGCAGCAAAATACCAAGACAAACCTAATTCTAAAGAAGAGATATAAGAATCATGTAATACCCTCATCAATCTTTTCTAATTGAGCGTCGCTTGTAAATTATTATTCTTTTATTTTGTTTTTTTTGTCTCTTGATTTTTGTATTTTGTATTTTGCATTTTGCATTTTGTATTTTTCATTCTGTATTTTGTATTTTGTTTTGTTTTTTGGTTTTTGTATTTTGTTTTTGTTTAGTTTCTCCACCATTAACTAGTTATATTGATTTTATTTGGTACAATTAAGGATAAACCTTCTCGTAATTTCAAAATTAGCCGCCTTTTGTTATGCACAACTGCAAAGACCATTTGAAATTATTGACCCAATTACTCCGTGTAGTATACCTCTCTCAGCCGAGTTTCCATTATTAAATTTACTCTACAGTTGAAATAGTTGGGGAGGTGCAGTTAATATTTGTTTGGTCCAAATATTCTTACCGGAGGAATGTGCACTTCCTTCTTCAGAGAGTGGTACTCCTATGATGATAATTAAAAAGGAAATTTATTAATAAAAAATTAAAATAAATTAATAAATAAATAAAAATTAAAATAAATTTGCATTGTCAATTTATGTTTTATTTTATATGAATATAATTACAAGCCGTCATACCACATTTGGATATAGTTTTTATTAGCAACAGTTTAACTACAAATAATTGAGTTCTGATAATAATACACTTTATTTAGAAAGGGTGGCACTGAATAGTTGAAGTAACTAATAAACTTGTGGCCCTCTATTTAAAAAATTCTAACAAGCAATGTATATTGAATTCTAACATAACTATCAATAAAAACTAGGAATATCTATCTAATAACAAGAAGATTTACGAATAAAAGTAAAATGCAACTTGAGAGCAAATGATGAATCACATGTTAGACAGTAAAATGATGTAGTTTCTGTTGTACGTTAAGAAGGTTGTTTCTAAAATTGTTCTTAAAAGATTCTAATGATACAGAATTCCTGAGTTCTAGACTTAAGCTATTCCAAAGTTTACATCGGTCATACGATTAAATCTTGGGCAAATAAAATTAATGTTGCTATATCTTGTTGCACGATTATGTTGCTAACTATTAAGTATTAAAGAGCCTTCAGTATATAAGGGTACTTCTCGCTTGATACGTTTTTACGCAACGCAGCATTTAGCTATTTTGGATTCCTCATAAAAAGGGAGCCACTGAAGTCTATTGAACAGCTTGACACTAGGCGCTTGGTTGTCAGCATCAGAAATTACCCTGGCTGCTCGTTTCTGCAACGTTTAGTTGCAGGGCTCTTGAAAAGAGACCACGCAGAAACAAGGAGCAGGAAAAGAAAAGAACTGAGGCAAAAAAACAAAAATCTAAAATGACCTAAGATATGAAAGAAATGAGACCTCGAAGGACGGAGAGGAAAGAATCCAAGAGTGAATTATAAACTTATACCTGAAAGTTGAAATCATAATGATCATCTCTGGCTATTTCTCGTAGTTCTGTTCCTTCCCTTACGTGACTAATCCAGGTTTTGCGACCTAAACAGCAAAGACGAGTGAGTATAAAAAAGATTGAAGTTCAACAGGAAGCTGGAAGTGTACAAGGGCGCGGTACTGATATTTTGCTAGGCGGGTGACTTCCTTTTAAATACCAAAACCGGCGGTAACTAGACAAATTCTTTGAATTCTTTATCCTTTATCAAAAGTTAAGTTTCCTGGCATTAATTTCATACACAGAGGCTATTGCTTCACGCTCGATTTTCGGAATCACTTTAAAATGCACTGATCCCATCAATTCAAAGTAGATTGCTAAACAAACGAAACTTTATTCATACGAAGACTTAGTACCTCAGCATTTCTTTTTCAATGACGGCATATTCATTTACTTCAATCAGACTGAATGACAAATAGAGGCTGGTTGTTGTGATCATCGTACAACTTCTCCCAACAATATCCAGCAAACAGGTAATAGGAATACTCACACTATCAGGTTGAAGTTGTCATTTGATCTAACACCCAGTTCTCGTAACTAATTTACAAGGAAGTGTGTAACAGCTTAAGGGGAGAATGTAATATCAGATCTTGGGAGTTAATAGGTTTAATAACATAGAGGGTAAAATTACTCAATGCTGATTGGTCAATGAATAGGGTATTTTTTCTTAATTTTGTTTGTGAAGAGGGAAAAATTAACTTTGCTTTAACTTTGTTTAAAAAAGCACTGACTTTGTATTTTCAAAGTTGAAAGTTAATTAGCAGGCCTGGTTATCAATGTCCTGCTATGTTTGTGCAAAAATAAAATTTCATTCAGCTCAATCACGCCTTTGTGGTGATTAATTCTTTGTCAAAATTAAATGGCCCGACTTCCTGTGACTGATTACTCAAGAGCGCATTCAGAAATTCAGTATTTTTTCCCTCTATTTCATTAACAAATAATCGCAATGGTTTCTCGTAAAACTAAGGATTAATATCACGTGTTTTCAGAAGTTTCAGCAACTTCTGAAAACACAAGTGATATTACTCGTTAAATTTACTCGGCCCTATGCGATTACCTATACAAACGACCTAAAATGATTATATCAGTGAGTCAACATTTTGTGAAAAGGCTTCAGTCATCAAAATTACCAGCAAGATGCGTGTGCAACAAAGCAGCAAAGACGTTTATTCCTCCTTTTGGCAGCTTGGAGTCTTTCATTCCCTAAGAGTGATATACTGAACGTTAGGAAAATGACGTGTGGAACAAATTCTTCAACGCAAAAATATAACTTTGTTAGAAAAACAGCCCGATTCGATTGGAGACCATTAAACTAAAACCCGAGGAGTCACATCGATAGATGAAAAAAGAAAGGAAAGTCTTACATTATGTTCTCGATACCAAAACAGTTGAATAACCGGGAAGAAGTCGCTAAAAAAATTTTTATTTCGAGCTCAGAACATAACAAAACCAAGATGGCCGCTACAATAAAAAAAAGAGTACCGAAGCCCGCAGTCCTCAGCGGCAAAACCACAAAAGGGCGGGGAAACAAGTGGTATTGAACAATTCCTTCTTTGACACATAATACACAAGCAAATTACTGTCTGAATAAATCTTTGGAAATGTAAGCTGGTGTTAATATAGGTTTGTACAATTGATTAAGAGAGTAAACTCACTATTTCCAAAGCAAACTGATGAATTGAAGAGTCATGCAATTTAGGATCACCTTTGACACTCATTTAAAATATGATCCTACTGAGTTATACGTACCAGATTTCTGAAAACATGACCAATATTTTGCACCCACCTGCTGCAGGCACTCTTTAGTGCAGAACCCATCTGTGTGCCATGCATTCTGTTTTGGCGGGATAATCATCGCGGGTGTAACCGCCTCTCCAACCATCATAACTCCAGCATCATACTGTCTGAGTTGCTTTGTGTAGTGGAACCTCAGGCCAGAACTGTCAATCAGTCCTTTATTTAACCAAAAAGAAATCAATTTAGTACTTGTCTCTATGTGAAACAGCATTTCGAAGCCATTAACTTCACATTCAAGTTAGGGCTCCTGCGTGTATTTAACCCTGGCACTATCAATATTTATATCATTCAACTGCACTTAGTATAGTAAGAATAACGCACCAATCGAGTATACATCTTACGCGACATTTGGACTGTTAGTTATTTTGTACTGCACATAATACGCTTCTCTATCTGCTTTGCTTTTCCCGCCTTATAAGAAATGCATGTAAAATAAAGTAGTTAGGTGACAAAAAAAATATATATATTAGACGTTTTGGTGTGCAGTATCAAGGAGTATTTTGACTCCCCCTGCAAGTCTCGTCAAAATACGGCACAATTCGTGAAAATACTCAGGGAAACCACACATTAAAATGTCCCGTCAGATGTATATATTTGCATCAGTGTGCACCCAAAGCGAATGCAATTGCCTGCTTACATCGAGATCTGGCTTTTGATACGGAACTGCATGTTCACAAATAACATATTCTATATCACTGTCAAATTTCCTCAGAAATGTAACCAAAGAACTTAGAGTGAAGTTACTTTCAATTCCAATCCTTTCGTGTTGAATAAGATGATGACTTTCGCAAAAGTAGTGTTCTCTTACATGTTGTGAACAATGAAGACAGTGAGAGTTTAAACCGGGTTAAGTTTCGGCTTGCATGCTGTGCCAGTTGACTCGTATTTTTTGTCACCATTTTTCATTACCTTCCTTATTTAAAGGATTATCATAATGTATTTCAAGCATGACGACTTTAGGGCTGTCAGCTTTTCCTATCGGAAATCCAGCTATCTCAGGATAGTAAAATTCCTGAAAGATACAAAAATATATATATTTTTAAGTCGATTAAATAGTTTATGACTTCTATCTTGCTCAAATAGTGCTTTACTGCGAAGGATCGTTCTCATATACATCTTTTTTACTATTGGAAGAACTCCATTCGTTGGCCTAGACAGGTATGAACTTCCTACCAGGGCTTGGATTTAGGATCCCTGAATCTGGCAATATCCATTTCCAAGGTGGGGACTATGCCAACTTTTCGAATCCCTTCCTTTCTTCCCCTCTTACAGAAAGCTTAATATCGTCAATCCCCAAATTTAGCTGTGCCCTCACAAAATCATCACTTGACTCACCTTTCCACCAATAGCCCATGCAGCAAATGCTGATGCTCCCGCACAGTCTTTCCCCGGTGGGGGCATATCAGGTCCATAACAGTTGCCGGTGTAATTCAAGTGATGTGTTGGGAAGTTATCACTACACTCGTACAATAACATGTGATGAACGATGCCCTCATGACCTGATTGAATAATTGGTTCAACCTACATACCAATGGAAAGATTAAAAGTTTTGCTGGAAAGGCTGGGGAAGACTACGAACAAGAAAGAGAATTTAGATAAAGAAGATTATATGGAGGTTTCGCCGCATTGCAAATTCACCCTCTTCAGCTGTTGCGAGTTCGCCTCCTGAAGTAAAACAGGTTCGCCCCCACCAAGTTTGCAGCCTTCACCACTTCGCCCCCTAATCCTTATACTCGTTTTCTTACGGCAAAACGCATACTGTATCTTTTGGTCGAAATCGTGATGTATTTCTATATGCATCTGACTAGATTGACGCAGTGGGTTTGCATCACTCGTGCAGTTGTCATGTGCTACTAAACATTTCTAAGAATTTGCATGTTGATCGAACTTTGTTACGGTCTCGCGATAAAATTGCGTATCGATCGATATACGTTCTGATATTTATAGAAAGAGTATATGTTGGAAAGCTGACGTAAACGAGAACGGGAACAAGAAGAAGAAGAAAGGACAAAAATATTTTCGAAAAGATGGGGAATGGAAAGCAAAAAAAAAAAAAAACTGAGATGTGGAGAGCACAGTAAACTAGGATGGGAGTCGGTTAGACCACGAGGAAGAGAATAACAAAAAATACGCGGCAAATGCAAAATATTTGCATAGTTCCTTACCATAATGATGTGATGCGTTTCGTTAACTTTTGGAATCTCGAATGCTCTGCAGATGTAGCTCGTTCGTTTAGATGGAATAGCGGTCTGAAATGAAGGTAATAAATAAAAGTAACAATTAAAAGAAAAGCTGAATCATCGGAACCAACACAATACTCACTTGATCCAGGGATTTGAGCCATAGACGTGCTTAATTCTTTGCTCGTGCTCGTTCATTTCTTCTTTTAGTGTTAATTTATTCAATCATCTAACTATAAATCTATTCACCATCCATCCATTTATCCATCCACCCATCCATCATTCATTCATTCATTCATTTAATCTTAATCTTTGCGTTTGCTTGTTCCTTCCTCCTTCCTTTTGTACGTTCATTCATACATAAAGTTATGTTTTTCGTTGGCTAGATATCGTTTTTAAGGAAGTAGAGAATGTTTCCTTTTTTACTTTCAAGCTCTTAGAAAAATATAGCTCTGGACTGGGGGCGTATTCTACTTTATTATATGGCTGTGTCTCACAAGGACTGGGAACTACCGAACTCACGAATTTGATTGGCAGAAATCAATACTGAAAGCGGTCTAGATTTTCCCATCTAGACCGGCATCTAGACCGGTCTAGAAAAAAAAGGTACAAAGAATATAAAAAATTGGCAGATAAGACACAGCCATATGACAAACATTTTATTAACCGAGCTAGGTCGGTCTGTAAGGCTGAATCTTGACCTCGGTCGCTGGTACAGACCTCACTGCGTTCGGTCTGTACTGGCGACCTCGGTCAAGATTCTTCCATACAGACCTCCCGCTCGGTTAACAAGAACTAAGTACGCCGCACTTTCTATAACGTAAACTATATGTTCTTACCTTATTATGTCGTATATCAAATGTTTCAGTATCTGGTGGCAAGGTTGGTATATTTTCAAGGCTGTTCAGCAACAGTAGACTCCTTGATCCCCTGTTTCCAGTCCTGTGCGGCTTTATGGCATTTTCTGAGGTTGGGTCCTCTTTGTGGTAGGCATAAATCACTTTGGTAGTTCCACTCTGAATAGTAGAGATACAACCTGTATGAAAGCGGTCCTCGTAGTAATAAACCCTACTTATGCAGTAGTGGAAATAAGGCCTGAGAAAAAATTCAGGCCGTGAATTATAGCGTAATATGACGCCATTCTCGGCCAATAAGAGCGCGAGAATTTCTATAATCACCTGAGTAATTATAGTAAAAAATGTTAAAATAAAATTTTAATAAATGTTACTAAAATGTTATGATTTTAGAAATTTCTCTGTTGTTCAGCTTAAAAAAATCGGTGAATATTGTCGAATAATCGACGATATTCACCTCGCCTTCGGTAAATAATTGTTAAATACAATAAACTCTGGAAAACCGCATCAACTCCTTTAATTTTTACTGTCCTCAAGGTCCTTTGAACTTTTCTATGTTTGATATGGGATCGTAGACCATGGATTTAATGAAGCGGGTCATTGTAAGTGATGTACAAATGTTATTTGTATATTCATATGCTATTCATTATTTTGTTAGTTGAAGGGTGTGCCACAGATGACGGGAGAGAACCAGCCAATGAATAAACAAAGGACTTAAAAACACAGTAATTGTAACGTTATAGACCGCGAACCTCAATTTTGTTGTCTTGTGAATCACACGTGTCAAACTTTCTCTTGACACTCATGACAGTTTTTCCGTTTCTCTCTTCAAGTGAAATCAGTTCATAGTTCTGCTGCATATCCACCTCTGGAACTGAGTAACCATTAGAATGTCGATCCTACAGAGAAAACAACAATTTGGAATGACACAAGAATCCCCAAAGACAAACTGATCAAAACTAGACTAAAAGAAAAAAAAAGTTCACGGTTCGCTTTACAGAATTTTAGACAGTTTTACTGAGACTAATTTTTTTTGTGTTCTTTATCATTAATCCCGTTAAAAGAAAAAGAAACAGCTCCTGAAAAAGTTATCGAAATGTTCAAATGGTTAAATGATGAAATGCTTATTGACTTTGTTTGGGGGCGTAATTATAACGGAAATGCGGGGTATGGGGGACCTAACGGGGGACCTAACGGGGGACCTAACGGGGGACCTAACGGGGGACCTAACGGGGAATGCTTGGCTCTCGGTCATGACGCTGCACTCGGTCCTCACGTAATGGTCTTCACACCAAATATTTTTGATATTGTTCATATTTTCAACTTCCTCTTTAATGAAAGGCCTCCCGGAGTCTCTTTTCAAAGCGACCGCGGATCCTTTTCAAAATGGATGTAGCATGCCTTTAATTAATTA